CAAGGCCTTTAAGAGGTTTTGTTCAAACTGCTGTTGCTATACAATTTTGTTTTGTTTTTTTGTTCAGAGAAAACATCAGAGAAAGAATTGAGATAGAGACATTTTATCAATATCAGCACTTCTATTACTAGAAGTAAGTTGATTGCCAGTGTGTTGCCGGGTGCAATTCAAGATGTTGGTTATTACTTTAAAGCCCTTCGTGGCTTGGGACTGTGTTATCTTAGGAACTATCTTCTCCCAATTGTTTCTACCCATCCAATTTGGTCATGGTTGGCATATTGCTAGTCAGTCAAGGAATGTTGGTTGGCAAGAACTTGAAAAAAAATCTGGAACTTTGCTGTTAAATATGTTGACAGCAACAAGAATGCTTTATGCACAAACAAACAAAAATTCCACAATGGCTGCATGGTTGGAAAGTTAGGGAACTAGCAGAGATGGCTAAATTAACTGTTTTAATCTAAGAAAAGAATACATTCGATTTGGTTTCTGCTGAGAAACCACTTCTGGATTTTATGCTTGAGATAAAATGAAAGTTTGACTTTGGAAGAAAATGAAACGTTGACTTTGGGAAAAAATGACACTTTGACTTTGGGTTTTACTGATTAGATATGTTTGTGTTATAGAACAACATATGTATATATTATGTTATGTACAAGTATGTAAATGTAAAAAGCATTTTCTTATCATATAACAGTAGCCAATTTTTAAAAGTAAAACCTTTATATTAACCTTTTAGTGAAGTACTGGTGCATTATTTAAAAAATACATAATTTTATCGGATATAACATTTTTTTACAACATTAATATCTTATTTTTTTGTTATTTTTAGAAACCCGAGATGAAAATGGCAAGACAGAAAGATCTGACAGTCTTATTGTAAAGAAAATAAAGAAGAAGAAGAAAAAGAAACACAGAGAAGACATGAGAGGGAGGCATCTGAAAATGTACAACAAAGAAGTACAGACAGTGTGTGCTGGTCTTACCCGTATCAGCAAAGAGACTTTGACTCCAGGAGNTCTTGCTTTGACATTCAGTGAAAACGAGAAAAATGCAGCTTATTATGCTCTAGCGATAGTTCATGGGGCAGCTGCATACTTGCCAGACTTCTTGGATTACTTTGCTTTCAATTTCCCTAGCACTCCAGTGAAAATGGAAATCCTTGGTAAAAAAGATATTGAAACAACCACCATTTCAAACTTTCACACTCAGGTAAGAAAAATTACTCCAACATGCCTGAATTCTAATTTGAATCTGGGGTTGATGATTGTAAGTAATACTAAGCAGAAAGCTGAAATCAAGAATGCTTTCTGTTAGTTATATTTACCACCTCCAATTGCCTTTGCATGCTGTGTGTCAAATACACACCAACATTACCTTTACACATTTCACATTCCATTGTTCCTTCCAGATTTTGCCTCTCTATAAGAAATAGCATTATTTTTGAATTTTAAGATCTAGATATAGTAAGCCTTTACTGATAATTTGAGTCTTTTTAGTGCCATCACAACCCTAAGGATTACATTGTTGAAAAATGGCTGATGAGAATGTCCTAGTCTCCAAAAGCAAACATCTGCTTATACTTATTATAAAATAGAAATTAGTTTTAAGTCTTAAATGATGGAAAACATAAATTGCTCTCACAAGGTATAGAAAATTTTTACAGAAGAAAAATAATGATGCTCAGATTATCCTTTCTGCCCCCTCCCTCCACAAATCCTACATTCTTTTACCTTCGTTGGTTTGTAGAAGAGGTTAAAGAGGGCATTATCTTCATGGTTTTCATTTATTTATCTCATTAAATTTAGTGCCACCCAACTCCAAATTATTTTGGATGGCCCACAATGGTCAGAGGAACATGAAGTTCTTTGGAGATGTTTTCTAGCCTTTATCTTTAGCTCACTTGGCTTTTTCGTTTTCTTTCTGCTTTTCTTTGTTTTCTATGTTTATTATGCTGTGCAGTGACACAAAAAGCTTGAGTGAGTAGTTTTCTCCATTGAAATAGGCTGAGTGACTGATTATGAGATTGAAGGCACCAGTGTTACTAATTAAATAGTCTATTTGAGAGATCACTAAAATCTAATAATGTCTTTTAACTTCTGAGTGATAGCAATGATTTCATTTATTGTATTATAAGAATGTGTCCATCGCAAACTGTATATTTTATGGACTTTGGAATCAAGAATGGTAGATGCCATTTGCTTCTGTCAGTTCCAGGTTACTTCCTAGCAAATAGAGAGTCTTTGAGGAAAAGTGAACAAGTACTGTATCTATATAACTAGGTACATATGCATTAAATAATATTATTATTGAACCATATGAACCATGTAATGTAAAATATTACATGTAGCATTTAAAAATGTGTAGGAATGAAATCCAGTAAAAATTACTATGAAATTTAAACAGTTTTGTTAAATTATCTTTCCCTTTTGAAAAATATTGCACACCACTGGCGTAACATATCTTAAACTGAACTGCTGACATATAAATTGATCATGTTCCTTGATGTTTATGGACTAGACTAGCTTTGAACAAACATGTGATTACCTATTTCCTGTGGGTACTTGACATATTTCTACATCGTGGATTAATTCAAAGAAATCACTTTTTTAAAGTTAATGAGATATAGAAACTCTGTCCTCCCCAATAGTTCCTTGTGGATTTGTTTTCTTGGTAAGGGAAGAAATCCAAAGTATTTTGATTATAGACTTTGGGTTATTGTTTAATAACAATTGGTGAATAAGAAAATACTGTGTTTCTTTGAAAGTAAGACCTACCCCCAAAATAAGCCCTAGCTTGATTTTTGAGGGCGGGCCTAATATAAGCCCTACCCCCAAAATAAGCCCTAGTTTTGGGGTGAGTACACCTAAAAATCAAGCTGGAGTGGGGGTGTGGAGCTGCCCCACACGCCCTGCACCCACTTACCTTGCAGCCAGGCTTTTCCTCACCAGCCCACTTCTTCTGCAGGCATCCCCAGGCCTGCATTTTGAAGTCAGAGGCCTTTCCGGAAGGCCACTGCAGCCAAGAACCGAGCTACGGATTCAATCCATAGCTTGGTTATTGGCTGCAGAGGCCTTCTGGAAAGGCCTCTGACTGCAAAATGCAGGCTGGAGCTCCATTCTCAGCTGCAGAATGAAGCTGCTCGTTTGGCTGCAGAAGAAGTGGGCTGTCGGTGATGGAGATGAGTGGAAAAGACACACACACACCCCTCGCCCTGAAAATAAAACCTGGTGCCTCTTGGAAGCAAAAAAAAAAAAAAAAGACTGGGTCTTATTTTTGGGAAACACGGTATCTCTCTCTCACTTAGTACTTTAGTATTGTATCTTGTTACACTATTTCACTGGAGATGAGAAACATTTCATACGTGTGCTTCCAGTTGGGTGTATTTTCCTCTAATTTTTCTCCAAAGTAGTAGATGTTTCAATTTGGGCTTCTGTCCTGTGTATTTCTTGTAAGTTTAACACAGAACAGTTCTTCTGGTGGTTCTTTAGTTGTTTGGATTCTTTAAGAATATCTAGTTATTCAGTTTTTCACAGATGCTTTGGTATATTTCCCTGTCTTAAATTTTAAATGTTTTTATACATATAGATATAGTTTATAAGCCTTAATCGTAGCTTAAGAATTATTATTCTAATTGCTGTATAACTGTTGTGCTGATCTTTCATTGCACCATCATGAAACACAAGATACTTATTCTTTGATTAAGCAGAGTAATATTTGTATTTGTTGCACTCTTCTGTGCAATTTACCTGTGAAAGATTAATAAGAAAGGGAAATTTCAAGCTCAGATATATGTATGTCCTGTATATGATATATACTGTATATTCTTGACTTCACAGGAAATTTATAGATTACTTTAATGCTGTGGGATAAAATAGTTTTATTTTTTTCTTTATAAGGTCAGTCGAACGTACTGCTGTGGAACTTACAGAGCAGGTCCAATGAGGCAGATCAGTCTTGTTGGAGCAGTAGATGAAGAAGTTGGAGATTATTTCCCAGAATTTCTTGATATGTTAGAAGAATCTCCATTTCTTAGAGTAAGTACTAAAGTTTTGCTTCTTCTTTTGGTGGCTTCAGTTTTAACTAATGTTAGCACTGAATTGGTGATGGAATAAAAAGTGATAAAGCATTATTAAACATTAAGACAATAGTTAAATAGGAAAGGAAATTTGTGATTTTTGTCTAATTTTATTGCATGACAGAATGAAGTAAATTATACTGAAAATATAATGCTCTGACTGTGTAAAAATTATATTTTAATAAAGAAATTGCTCATCTGTTTATAAGATGTCCAAAGCATTTCATATCACCAGCTGACTAGTTTAGTTTTCTTTTGTGATCTACAGATGACTTTGCCTTGGGGTACTCTTTCGAGTCTCAGACTTCAGTGTAGGTCACAAAGTGATGATGGGCCCATTATGTGGGTAAGACCTGGTGAACAGATGATCCCAACAGCTGATATGCCAAAGTCACCATTCAAAAGGCGCAGGTAATCTTTATAGCTGGGAGAGAATTTGTACTTTAAATTTTAATTGAGCTGATCTCATCAGCAAAATTGCCTTAGTTTATTCTGACAACTTTCTGAAACTTAGTTGACATATATATTAATATGTAATAGTAAAGTTTCCTTCCAATATAGCTTAAGTCTTGATAATTTTGTACATATTTTTTTGTAATGCTGCCATACTTTACCCCTCTGTCAGTATCATACATTGATTATAAACTCCCAGGATGCAAGTTTATGTTAGGGAATGCAGTAGATATTGATGGAATATCTATATAAATTAAAACAACAGCTTCTGGTTCAGTGCACCTAATATAAACTTTGTTTGATTTAAAATATATTTCCATTCAGGTAATTATGGCTACTGTCATATTGTTTCTGTAGATGGTAAATCATTAAAATGATATTGAACTGTATGAAATCATTAGTGCTGTAAGAGCAAGACAGTGAAGACTCTCTGTGTCATACTTGCACATTGTTATATTATCCGTTAGTTTGATATCCTGTCTTTACTTCAGGAGCTCAAGGCACTGTGCATAACATTCTAGTGTGGGTTCTCCTGGTGCCTTTGAACTCTCAATTTGCATCAGTCCCGGTGAAGGTTCTGGAGGGCTGCACACTGCCAACTTTTAAGTTCATTGAATTTCTGCGATGTAAGCATTTGTTGTCTGTGTATTGTATTTAAGCTGTGAAAAAGTTGAAGTTATTTTTAGCACTTTTGTTTCAAAAGGCCTATTAAGAGGACATAAAATAATCCCTGGTATATAACATCTGCATAAACTTTTTAAAAAGTGGCCTTTTCCTGTTATGCATTCCATCCTTTACTGTTTTATATTTTAATTTATATTGCATTTGATTACATTAGAGTTAATTCCCCACATATCAAAGTAGTGCCTGTATGATGTGGAAAAGTTAGGACAGCTGATTTTTTGTTTTTATGACATCATTTTTTTGTCTATCCCCTTCATAAATTTAATAGTTTTCTTCTTTTTCATTCCATTTCATTCCATTCATAGATCTATGAATGAAATAAAAAATCTCCAGTATCTACCTCGGACCAGTGAACCACGTGAAGTTCTTTTTGAAGACAGAACAAGAGCACATGCTGATCATGTTGGGCAAGGGTTTGATTGGCAGAGTACAGCTGCTGTTGGAGTTTTAAAAGCTGTACAGTTTGGTGAATGGTAAGAACGGGATTTATAGCATTTTAAAATAGAGATGTGTTGAGTTTTAACAGAACGTACATTATAATAATAATTTTTGTTACAAGGCATTTTTGCTATAAATTCTTAAAATCCAAATTACCAGGAAAATCTAATCTCTGAAAATTCCCAGATTTTTTTTTATGCAAAAGGAATTGCTTTCATAGTACAGTAGACTACTTTGTAGAAGGATATTTTGAGATGACATACCTTGAAATGAGGCCCATTTGAAAGTCAATTCTGTGGAAGCTGCAAAAAGTATTTAATTATATGCCTCCGTGAAACTCCTACAGTACAGGTGTTGTTCTTTGTATACTTGTAAGTTATCTCCTTTATCAAATTGGTAATGGGGAATAACAGTTGGACTAGTCAGTGGTTTGCTGTGAGCAATTCACATTGTATCATTTTCTCGGTACATGATCTCCTTTAAGTCAAGCTCCATTGTTGGGGCAAATCCAAGGAACATAATCTTTAATCTTAACAAACATTGTTATCCTGTCTTTCGGGATTCTTTTTGATTTCTGAGTTCTAAGGATATAGACAATATGTGTAAAGAAATGTAGATTGCCATATTGAACCTTGACCTTCAGACATATTAAATCACTTAACTGGTCCTACGTTAAGAACTATGATCAGTGTACACTTGCAAATGAGATCCTGCTGCTTAAAATGACAGAAGACCATGACTGAAGAAACCTGTGTGACTCTGGGGAGACATTTTATGTTATGGAATTGGCTCTATTGTATGGCATTTTTCTAAATGGGTAATGCTGCCTTCCTTGAAAGATGTGGTGATGTGCCTCCTCTTGAGGAGACCCTTCTCAAGTCTGCTGTATGTCACCATCAGTCCTAATAGAATATGGTAGCATAAAAATATAATAAGTAAACAAACCATCTTAGAGGAAGGGAAAATAAATTTCCTCTCAAAATGAGAGATGAAGTACATTGTTTTGCTCTTGAATATATGCAGTTTTCAAAATATAACTAATATTCTCAAACATATTTTTACCATCTTCATTTCTCCAGGAGTGACCAGCCTCGTATAACCAAAGATGTTGTTTGTTTTCATGCTGAAGATTTCACTGATGTAGTTCAAAGACTTCAATTGGATCTGCATGAACCTCCAGTATCACAGGTAGTCTTGTATTGTGCTGTACACGTTGTTTCTAGTTAAAATGCTGTTATTTTTTCCCCTGAATGTTTTCTCTGTTGATTTTTGATTCTGAAATAAACTCTCCAGAATAACACACACACATGCCTGAAATGCATAAATAAGTGGGGGTTAGGCGGTTGGATTAGGTTACGGTATGTTTCTTTAAAGAGAAACAGAGTTCCTCTGTTAGGGAGATGGGTGGTTTCTAAATCTGATAGCTAAATTAGAGATAGATAGATAGACTGATTGATTTAATATATCTGAATTTTGAGTAGAGGTATTCCATATCAAATCACTCAATCCTTTAAATCTAACATATCTGAATTTTGAGTAGAAATATTCCATATCAAATCATTCAATCCTCCTAAGTATAACCATCCATTGATAAGTGCCAGATTTTCATTCATTTATTTATTTATGAAATTTATATACCATCTGTCTGTCTCACTCACTCACTCACTCACTCACTCACTCACTCACTCACTCACTCACTCACTCTAAGTGATCCCAAATATCTCGGTCTGAAAGATGTTGTCTTGAGTACTGTTTAACAATGCCTTATAGCAAAACATTCTAAGAAATATATTGTTTAATATATCATTGATGTTTGACATTTGTGTACCATATTATATAGGGGTTTCATGTTTATAGTATACATAGGGAGCTTTGGGGGATTAGGCACTTATTCAAGATTTTGAGAGTATCTAATAAGTGCTATCACAAATTGGCTGACATAGCATAGCAATCACAAAGTATATCAAATGGCTAATTGTTTCCTCGGATACTCCTTACCATCCCAGTAAGAACTTTGTGGCCCAAGAATACTTTCCTGTGATCTATAGTAACAGATGCTTGTTATCATATAAAAATCCCAGCCCAGTCCAGAAATTCTGTTCATGGCATCAGACATCCCTGCACTATCACCAGATACTTTTTGCTAAAAAATGCACATATGTAAAAAATAGGCAAAAAAATCAGCCTCATTCAAAAATATATTTCATGATCATTTCCCTTGAGCAGCATGATTTTAGATTATCCTTTTGCGGCTTGTTTTACATTTACAGTAATGTTCAATCTCATCTTCTAAAAAAATAATAATAGGGTTTCCTCATTGTTCTCTTCCCAAGAGAAAAAGGCAGTAGTGAGTAAGACAGATTTTGCCTGGGCTTTATCAGTAAACCTGTCCATTATTTTTCAGCAAAGACTGAACTAGTATGTATAGAAGCAGGATTTCTTAAGCTTAATTCAGGCTTTAAAACATGTTGATTTCAGAAAACATTTTATATTCATATATTTGCTGTTTTATATTGGTTTTTGCTATGTTTGAAGATGTTTTTATTTTATTGTGTCTTGCTGTTCTTCAGCATGATGATGGAGAATCCACGAATGGGTTTAGACTGTCTTCCCACTCAATTAGACTAAGTCTGATAAAGTAGCCACGCCTCCTGCTGGGCCCTGTGCTTCCCAGACACGACTTAGTCTTCAGCCCAGCAGGACACGATTGTGGTTGGCTCCCTTATCAGACTTCTGGACAGGTTGTAATTTTCCTTTTTCCCCTTTGTGGATTCTCCTCCTTAATTACAGCGCTGGGATCAGCGCTGTCCCAAACGCCCAGCAACCTTTATTCCTTCCCATCCAACTTAATTTAATTTAAATTTAAAGCGCTGGGCTCAGCTTACCGGTAGGGAAAGGAGGACCTTCGCTAGGCCGAGGGCCGGATAGCCACGCTGACTCCAAGCCAGCTGAGTCGGCCTCCACTGCAGTCCTGTTTTTGGCGCGCCGATCACGGCCGCCATTTTTGGACCGCGCGGTCAGCCTCCTTCGCACCCAAGCCAGCTGAGAGTCGGCCGGCTGACTTAAGATTGAAGTATTTGTCAGTTCTTTAACTTGGTCCAACTCAGTATAAAAATTAGCTATGGTTGTTTGTTAACACTCCAAATTATTTGATTGATTGCCTCCTATTAGAATGGGAATTTCCTTTATTTGATCTATTAGCATAGCAATAGTTTCAGTACATGTTGGCTCATGGAATATGTGACATTTAGACTTCATGTTGACTTCATCACAACAAATAGTATTTATGACTTATAATATTACACAGCACCAAAAATAATTTTTTTTAATCTTACTCATAGTTATCTCTTTTTCCCTCCCTCAGTGTGTTCAATGGGTTGACGAAGCTAAGCTAAACCAAATGAGACGAGAAGGGATTCGCTATGCCAGAATCCAGCTATGTGACAATGACATCTACTTCATCCCTAGAAATGTCATTCATCAGTTCAAGACAGTGTCAGCTGTCTGCAGTTTAGCTTGGCATATAAGGCTCAAACAATACTATCCTGGGGCAGATGATTCTCAGTGTATGGAAACCATTTCAAATACGGACACGGTGAAACTGGAAGGTGAAGACCAATGTGTACTTATGAAAAAAGAGTCTGAAGAAGAAAGAGAAGTACAGACTGCAACAATAGCATCACCATCACTGTTTTCATCCCTGTCGTGACTTGTTCTGCAACAAGATTAGCTGGTTTGCCCCTTCCAGCTTTTAAAATTAGAATCAGATCAGCAACACAATCCACAGAAGGATCACATACTCTTTCTTGTCTGATATGTACATAATCATACATTTTTAAACAGCTTTTTAAAATTTTGATGTGAAGTTATAGTTTTATAACTGGGTTATGTTTTATTGGAGAAAACTTGCCTATAATTCTATAAAGAAAGGTGACATTCCAAAATGTCAAGCGTATCTTTTTTACACAGATTATGCAAAGTTAGAGTTGTATTTTATTCCCTTAGTACAGCATGTAGTAGTGGACTACAACTTTTTGCATTTCTTTTTTAAAAGGATGAGGTAATAATTCAACATCTCAATAGTTTTTCCTTCAGGAATATCAAGTATTTAACACTTGATAAGTCTGATATCTTTTCATCTATTTTATCTTTAGCTTTCAGCATAGAAGGGATGGTTTCTGTGGCAGATTCACAAAGTGACTCTCCCTCCCATTCAATTAATGGCTTGAATGAAAGAGAAAGCACAGCACTTTTAATGATCAATGACATTTGTATGTGTGAGAGAGTTTGAAAGCCTGGAGGAAGCTCAAGTTACCAGCAGTGTAGATTAATCCTTAATTGCTTAAGAAGACATTCAGTAAGAAGTTGATGTATGAGATTAGTTGCAGAGTGTATGATCTTGTTGAAATGAAATTACTGATACAACTCTTTCGTGGTCCTCTGCTTTTAATGTATATTGGAATATTTTTTTAATATCTTTCCGAACTGCATAACTTAATACACTAGTGTCTAATGAAAGTAACTGTTAGCAGTCTCTTTAAGGAAACTGCTATCTTTGAGCACTTTAAGGCTTTACAATATTTAAACCAACTTGGTGGCTTGTTTAATTCACAGTAGGCATCTTAGATGGAAACCATCAACTTCTTCGCATTGAGGCACTTAATATAATAGGGCAGGCCTATATCTCCTTTATTTTTTGAAATTATATATAACTGATTCACAATAAACTATCACGTAATCACATATGGATTGCTACTTTTGCAAATAATTCTTGGATTCCTTAATGCTATATTAAAAGATTAAACAGCACATGTTAGTATGTTGAGTATAATTGGCTGATATTATTTAGCATTCCTTCATTATTTCCCAGTATTAAGTAGATTCAGCTTTTCATTATATACAGAACAATGTTTGTTTTGGGTAGTAAAATGAAATTGGCCCCCTCATACGTAGCACCTGAACTTTATCACAATTTAATCAAATTTATTTGTATTTTTAAATCTGTTTTTAATGTAGAAGACAGAATGGGAGCACTACACCAATGCAAGTCAAGAAAGCAGTTGTGGGAAAAATGCAAATATTAGTATGTTTGTAATAGCAATTACTTTGTGCAATATTGTTTTGTGTAGATTATTAGCACCTCGGTATAGAGGACACAGTTTTAAACAAATAGCAAAGTAATCAGAAAACTTTACAGTATTTAGATAGAACTTGTATTACTCCTGATATATACATGTTTATGTATTGACTTTGGTGCAGTCCTGAAGACAAGAAGTAAAATTTTTAACAAATTGAATTTCCATACTGAAGTGGTGGGAACTTTCTAAGTAATCTGTGTAAATAAGGTGTTAGGTTGAAACCTTTTTAAAAAGGTACTGAGTTCTTATGCACGAGTGTAGCTTTTAATGAAAAATTCTAGATTGACCAATACTGGTTCAGAACACCTCTGTGCACTCTGGCTTTTTTTTTTTTATAGTTATCCAGAAGAATTTTCAAAAGCTTTAGCTGGCTGTCCTAAGTAAAATTCTTCATAGACAACATGGGCTTCAGTACTTCATTTATGTTTGACCAACTTCACGTTTTTGCATTTTTCTTCCATTAATTTTCCAAGTCTTCCAAACATCAATTTCCCACAGTTAAAGTTATGTAAATAACCATAACAACAAATACAACTCCAGATTTGTCACTTGGATATTTCAATTGCATTGAGTTGCAAAGTTGCACTGTTTATTGTATAATCACTCAGGAGTTGGATTTAAAAAATAATTGAATGAAAAACTGTTTATTATTTCACTTATCCTGTTTTGAAATATACATTAGAAAATTGTTTCAAATTCTACAATCTAGTAATGGACATTAGAAAAAGACATAGACTAAGATGAAAATAGTAGTTGGAATCTAAACTTCCTCCTTAGAGCAGAATGAGGTTTTCTATTGGCAGAGGGAACCAAGATTCAGAGAATGCATTCAGCTTGAGGAAAAAAGTTTCCCAATTCTCCAGAGCACTTCTTTATTAGGGAAGGGGAAGAAAAGAATTGGCAAAAATTACCAATACCCCCCTTTTTTTTTCAAGGTGAACTTCATTGTGCACAATTCTGGATCCAGTTCAATAACTGTAAAAGGGATTTTTTGTGTAGTATCACATTACAGCAATAGGCTTACAAGAGAATATTTTTTATTTTATTAAATAATAATCTAAAGGTATGTGAAGTGAACATTCATGACCTTTGCCATTCATGAATGATTAAGAAGATTAAATAAATGATTCTGAAGCAGCAGCCCACATTTTTCCAACTCAAGAGTTTTGTGTCAAAATTTAACGGTATTATGTATAAATGCATTCACTAACTTACATTTCAACCATCAAACATCTTTTCTGTCACCTATTTTGATTTAACAATACATATAATCTTTACTGCAATTACTTTGGCAACATCTTTACAATAGTTAAAAAGTATGAATTGTCACTATTATTGCATTCCCTAGCAAATACCAAAGAAGTCTTGTGCATGAATTTTGGTGTATCTGCCAGGACTCTGCTTTTTTCTCTTTATCCCTGTAGCCCACCTCATACTGCTAGACTGTTTTTTCCTAGAAACTCTTGAGATTCAGAATTTAAACTTTTTCAGGAGTAGGAAGAAGACTAATCAGAGTTTACCCAGAAAGCCTGAGTGCATGCATCTCACTCTGGCTCAGCGATTAAGGATTCTTATTGTAGGAAGAGTTAAAAAAAGCTCTATAACTAAAGTACTAATTTTACCATGTATATTCTAGAGTAAGAAAGACCAATACAAATACTTGAGTGAAAAATAATCATAATGGACCTGAAAAAGTGGCATAATCGTTTGTCTTGATGACTTTGGGAACATAATATTTGCTCTTGAAGTAGAAAAGAGATGAAAATTAATGTCTCAGGAAGATGTTGGGAGTGACTTGTGCTGATGTGATGAATTCAAAAAATGATTATCTTGCCAGCATAATTGATACTTTAATGCCTAGTTGCTTTGCAAATAGATTTCACTTAAATCTGACAGGAAATCTTATTTTATAAATTGCAAAAATGTGGATATTATATAGTTACAAAATCGAAGAGTAAAGGCAGAAAAATCTTTACGTTTATTTCATTAGAAGTAGTAGACAATTTGGGAAGACATTCATTTCCAATATATATAATTGTTGAATACTAGTTAAGCATTTGTTATATTCTATCTTGAAAATGCCATTAGCAGATCCGTAAGATCTTATTTAAAGATCCTGAGCAGCTCTAAGGTGGAAGCTGGAAAATTTGTTTTGTTTACTAAAAATCTATTTCTTTTTAAATACCAATGAAAAATAATATGTATTCAAGAAAAGTTGTATTGGGCTACTGATTCATTTTTAGCAAATCAATAAAAGCAAAATTAACATTTAGGTGAACTAGATATTTCACATTCCCCCTCACATATTTCTGAACATTAAGTAATGTGTAAATAATTGACATGTTCTCTTCCATGAAGATAGAACATATTGAGGTTTTATGTGAAATTAAGGAATTCTTCCATTACTGATTTTACCATATCAAAGGGCTCGTTTTCCTATTTTTGAGGGCATAACGTTTGTTCAGAGACAATAAAATTTATAGTCAGAGCCCCAAGATGCATATAACTTGTTTTTTTTTCCTCTCATGCTGCCATTCATATGCTTGAATTTATTCTGGGTGGTGAATTATCTTCACTTGTGGCACAATCCAACCAAAGTTAAGCACCTAGAAGTCCCATTTATTTTGAATGGGAGATAAGCAGGTGCTTAATTCTCCATTGAAATCAGTGGAACTTTAAATGTGTTTACTATTGGTGGGATAGCACTCTTATTTCCTTATAAATGCTATTTATAGCCATATTGGTTGTGTTTGAAGGTTGCTATGAATAAGGATATTTATCCTTCAGCTCCTAAAATTTTTATAATGTGGATAAACTATATGTTGGTCCAATAGAGAGATTTCCAATAATGTTATGGCCTTCCATTGATATACATAATATTTTTAGGACCCAACAGCACATGTAGTTGATAAGGGGCTTCTCTTAATCTAGCACTTTCAATTCTGTCTAAGCAAATACTTATCTTTACATGTTGTATAAAATAGATTTGTGTAGTGTTTTGTGATTAAATTCAATTTTGATTGGCAGCTAAAATATTTTTCTGTGGTTTTAATAATCTAAGGTCTTTGCATATAAAGGATATGTACAATTGCCTGGAAGACTGTTTTTGTTTTTTGTTTTTTGCTTTGTGTGGCCTTAGTATATTTATTGACATTTTAGCAAGTGTTTTAAAGAAGTTTTTATAATAGTGTAAACTGATGGGAAAATTTTAAGACTCTCTGTGAATAATCCTTTGACACAGTGCATTTCTTTTGGTAGGTGACTGTACAAGCGTATCACTGTCAAAGCTATTTGTTTTTTAAAAAAAGTACAATGGAATGCATAGAATTTTTTCCCCTGTAAAGTATTTTTTTAATAAACAGAAGTCTGATTTGTGCTTAATGAAAATGACTGTTTGGTAGAACCCTGTGCTACAGAATAATGGATACAATGGAATAAATTGGGAAGGACACCTAGCTTTTGAGTAGAAAAGAGGGATTAAGTTAAACTAAGTGAAGTCGGATAAATAACATAAAATAAAACAAGGTATAAGCTACTTTAGGGCAAAACTTCTAAATGTGACTTCAAAAAGTAATTTGTTTCATGTATGTAGCAAAAACATTATGTTTTGAAATCATATATAGTACAATTATTATCAAGATTATATTTCAAGCTACCTGCTTCTAATTTATGCTCGTTTTCTGAGCATTCTCATGTAAGCTGTTTTTAATCATTATGCCTGTTCCTTTTTTTTCTTTAGATAGACTGCTATCTCAGTAAAACTTATTTCAATAATGGAGAGATTTTTAGAATTTGAACAGATCGTCCTTTTTATTAAGATCTAGATTGTTGTCACTTTTCCTTGCCCAAAGTCTTTTCACATATGCACGCCAGGGAATCTTTTAAGCAGATCCCAATGATGGATTCAAGCATAACAGGAATTCCTATTATCCCTATTGGCTAGCAAGGACAGCGTCTTGACTGGAGATATTTCTAGATATTCCTCCCTCCCTTTCTTATCTAAGATGGCCACATTTAACGCTTTGTGTTCAATATTATTATAGATTTGATATCTTTCAAAGTTTTTAGAGAAAATACATCCTGAACAAAAGGTTTTGCCTTTCAGAAGTGCTTTAAATTGGACTATTGTACCACAAATTGCAAACTTCTGTATTTCAGTGAAGCAGAGATAAAGCAGGAGAGTGTATGAATGGTATTCCCTTGATTCTTCCTCTTAAGTATAAACTGTTTCTCAATCTTGCCAATTTCCAAGTACGCAAAACTAAATTCCCTGAATTCCCCAAACAGTATAATCACTGCTGAGAATTCTGGGACTTGGAAGCCCACATACCAAGATGAGAAACACCAGTTAAAGTGATTTGTGCTATTGTTTATAGGAGCAATAATAATGATGATGATGATGATGATGTTGGAAGGGACCTTGGATGTAATTTAGTCCAACCCCCTGCTCAAACCCTATACCATTTCAGACAAATGACTGTCCAGTCTCTTCTTAAAAACTTCCAGTGTTGGAGCATTCACAGCTTCTGGAGGCAGGTTGTTCCACTGATTAACTGTTCTAACTGTCAAGAAATTTCTCCTTAGTTCTAGGTTGCTTCTCTCTTTGGTTAGTTTCCATCTGTTGCTTCTTGTCCTGCCCTCATGTGCTTTGGAGAATAGCTTGACTCCCTCTTCTTTGTGGCAACCCCTGAGATATTGGAACACTGCTATCATGTCACCTCTCGTCCTTCTCTTCATTAAACTAGACATACCCAATTCCATCAACCGTTCCTTATATGTTTTAGCCTCCAGTCCCCTAATCATCTTTGTTGCTCTTCTCTGTACTCTTTCTCTTGTAAAATATTTGATGAAATGGACATGAAACAACATTCTATTCCATAGTTTCAATACTTATTTGACGATAGGCCTTCTTTCACTCTTTAAATTGTTTCCTAGCACCTCTAATATTGAAAATAGTATGCTAACAAGCTCAAACTGGATGATAACCCATTTTCACTTGAGAGAAACCCTCCTGCCCAAGTAGACAAAAATACAAGACAACGTATTTTGCTGCCTGCATGTCAGTTTATCTATGGTTACTGCTTTCAAGAAACTAATGGATAATGAGGGAGGAATCTACTGGCAATAGCTGGTGTTTAAAGATGTACTGAAAATATGAAATGGAAAATAGCCTCAGAGCAGTCATTGAGATAAAAAACAATAAGGGACAACATAATGAAAATGTAATACCACCATCACAGAAGGGATGACAGGCCCTGATAGATATTCCTTTTTGACTGACTTTTTGACCTTTTATTATGGAAATCAAAGGGATAGTGTAAGTGGCCCTTCCAGTCTAATGGTCTGTTCTTCAGTACGAGATAAACAGTTGGTAAACCTAAATCAGGATTTAATCCTGTGCGAAGCCTGAAATTTTTTTCTTCTATTTCTATTTGTCAGACTATTATGTGGTTAATAGTAATAATTTGTAGGAAGTTTTCAAAATTTGTAGGGCCTACAACTGCATTTGCATGGCTGGGACAGTGTAGGGTTATCCCTGTATATAGTGTATTATCTACCCTATTGCCTAGTCTCTTCTATCATTCACATTGAGATTTACCCATCTACGATACTGTGACCTCTGTGACACTATACGTTCAATTCGATACTCTAATATGCAGCAAGGTAAATTATGTAATTTCTAATTGGAATGGGGGTGCAGATGAAGGTGCAGGTGGCGGATGTCAGTCAGTGGACACTTCCTGAATAAGTTTTAGTTTTGTGACAGACATTAAATTGCTGCATGGATATATAAACAAGTTTGAAATATCATCCAGGTATCAGTGAAAATATCCAGTTGATTTATATAACAGGCAACCAGCGTGGTTGACACCATCAACTATCAGGGGACAGCAATTAATTTTTTCAAGTGGCCACATGAGAAACTGGAACTGTTGTGGAGGGCGCTGTTGCACCACTTGTCACTGCTGCCACAGGCTGGACAGGGACAGTCAAAGGGCCATATGTGGCCTATTGTCTCTAAAATGCCGAGGTCTGGCATAAGTGATATTTCCCTCTTGCAGACCAAAGGTCTTGGTTCTCTAAAGAATTTGGAGTGATAACACAGATGTAGTTTCTGTGCACAGGATGAAGGAACTCTTCAGATGGATCATTTGAATGGATCAGATGAAACTTCCTGACAGAACAATTAACCAGTGGAACAACCTGCCTCCAGAAGCGGTGAACGCGCCAACACTGGAAGTTTTTAAGAAGAAACTGGACAGCCAGTTGTTGGAAGGGACCTTGGAGGTCATCTAGTCCAACCTCCTGCTCAGGCGTTGGACTAGATGACCTCCAAGGTCCCTTCCAACTTTATTATTATTATTATTATTATTATTATTATTATTAATAATAATAATAATAATAATAATAATAATAATAATAATAATAATAATAATAATAATAATAATAATTTCAAGCAGAGGCAAGATGCATCTGCTCCTCTCTCATGTCAGCAAACACAGCGAAGTGTGCAATGGAGTCTCCATTGCAACTGCCCGGACTAAAAATAGAGAAACTGAAATGGAATTCTCATCACCTTGAGGAAAAGGAGGGAGGGAAGAGTGAATTAGGAAAGTGCTCAATATGTGTCTGCTCAGAGGATATATTTTCCCTTCTGTAATAAAAATTGGAAGAGATTTATTAAACCGTTTGAGATTTTGCAAAAAAAAATATAGTCCAAAATTGCATGAACATTCAATTTTGGGGAAATTAAATAAGAAACTTGTAGATCATTTATTGTTTAAAGCATTCCCTACTCCCCCCCTCCCCAACGCCCTCTCGTTTCTTTGTATGAAATTAGAACTTTTAACCCGAGAATGGTTTGTACTTTGTATGCTTTCCCTTTGCATGGCTAATTCCATAAAATCCTTACCTGCATCTATACCTTTATCGACGAAAAGTTCCTCAAACCTTATTTATGTTTCATTCATAAAGATTTTAGCCTGTCACATTAAATTTTGATCTTTTAAGTACATAGCCTGGATTCTAAAATTCAACCTCCAGTTTGGTCTTTTTGTTGTTGCTGAGGTCGTAAATTAAACCCCATTCCTTCCTACCCTTTCGTGTAATTGTTCTTGAGTCCAGCCTGCCTCCTAGCGCCGTTCTTCGATACAAGGTGAATCTTATCTGCTTCGTAATTCCAGAAGAACGCGCTGCCCTAAACGGTAGCTCGGGCTTTCCTCCAACTCGCATCTCCAACTCGGCGTTTGATTGCTTTCGCCTCCTTTCCGTAACTAAATACCGAAAAGGAGCATCGGCGAATGTGACACGTGATTGATGTTGCTTGTCATAACAGGATGGTCCAGACAGAGAAATATGGGTGCCGGCTCTCTCTCTCTCTCTCCCTCCAATCGCTTTCTTGGGAACGGTAAGAGACTGAATTGTAGCGCCTAAAAACTACGCGCTTTTGGAACGTTTGTGGATTAAATGTCGAAGGGGCAGTTGAGGAGTCTGGAGCCAGAGCTGGTACAGGAAAAGATTGAGGCTTGCAGGGCATGGATGAACTGAAGGACAGAAAGGGCTGAGAATGGCAATGCTGAAAGGGAAGGTTTAAAGGAATTGAGCCAGTGGGAAAAGCTAGAAGTTGAGGAAGGAGATTTAGGATTGTGGGTAACTGAACAAGGAAGAGGGATAATTGATCTATTCTATGGGGTCAACATGCCTCTCTCAGAACTTCAGTTCAGAAGTAGCCCTAAGAAATGCTTGATGTGGCAAATGAGTTGATGCTGTGAAGAGATTTCATTAAATGGACTGCTGAATTGAAAACTATTGGTTTCCAGTGCACAAGACTCATTCTGGATTTGCTTTGGGAGTCTTAAACCGTCCCTCAAACTTGACAAATGCAAGTCATAGATCAAGTATGTGAGTTTACCCTGATTTACTTCCTTTTGCATTTAAAATTTACATGCTTATCTTCAAATTGTTGAAACTGATAGAATATTAGAAAAACAATCAAGATAATTTTCTTCAAATATGCAGGTTTCCTTTCATTAAGGTAATCAAATCAGTGCTCAGAAACCTGTTTTGCTGTCTATTTGATTTTGAGCATCTTCACTGAGTACTTTGGTGTGCATTTTTGCTTTTTGCTGATATGTGCTTATTCTTGCCCTACAGATAGAAACTGTCTTCCAAGATACAGTATTAAATTCATCTAATACATTTATGACCATTTTATGACTGATCTTGGACATGTTTGGAAGAGTGATGGAAATGATTTATTTGCTCTATTTATACATGTTAATTCAATATAGCTAGCACCCATAAGAATGATGGTGGGGACACTAATGTATTTATGTATACAAATTGAAGTGATTTGCTACCTATTTTCTTATCTTTCAAAGAACAACTGTTTTTATTAATTAAGTTAATATTTATATAGTTAAAAAATTATATAGTATATCTTTCAAAAATCCTGGAACTCCGGGGAAGTACCTGATGATTGGAAAAGGGTTGATATGGTTCCCATCTTCAAGAAAGAAAAAAAAAACAGATCCAGGAAACCACAGACCAGTCAGTCTAACATCAATACCCGAGAAGGTCCTGGAAAAGATAATAAAAAAACAGATCTGCGAACAACTAGAAGCAAACAAAGTTATAACTAGTAGCCAGTACGGGTTTGTCAAAAACAGATCATGCCAAACCAATCTTATTTCATTTTTCGATAAAGTGACTAAATTATAGAACAATGAAACGCTGTGGACATAATACAGGCTACAGATTACAGACTAATTGGTCTGTAGTTTCCTGGGTCTGTTTTTTCCCCCCTTTCTTGAAGATGGGAACCACATCAGCCCTTTTCCAATCATCAGGTACTTCCCCAGTGCTCCAGGATTTTTGAAAGATATGGTACCATGGTTCTGAGATAACATCTGCCAGCTCCTTCAGAACTCTGGGATGTAATCAGTTGGTGTGATTTATGTTCGTCAAGGTCGGATAGATGTTCTCTTACCATTTTCTTGCTTATTTTAATTTTTTTCCCTAGTTTGTTTTTTGCAGTAGTTTTTTTTGGTATGTTGTCTTTTTGTGTGAAGACTGATGCAAAGAATGAGTTAAGCAGCTCTGCTTTTTCCCTATTGCTTGTTACTTCCTTGCCCTCTTCTCTTTTTAGTAGACCTACAGTTTCCTTGACTTGTTTCTTGTTATTAATATGTTGAAAGAAACTTTTTTTTAATTCTCTTTGATTTTTGTTGCAAGTCTTTGTTTATTCTTTGTATTCAAAGGTAGGTGCAAAACTTTTTCTCCAAAAGTTAATAAAATGATGTCCATATCTTATTTTGAATTGTCTTCTCCACTATGATATGGAGATAATAGAATTCTGCTACCTTCAAATGTTGAATTATTCAGAATTTTAAATTAATGTTCACATTAATTTTCATAATACATATTCAAAGATGAACACAACATAAATGCTAACCCCTTCCCACACACACATACACATACAGCCAATGACATAATGAAAGAGGTAAATCAAAACAACTTTATCAGCTTGGTCTATAGAGATCCAGATTGGTCATAACAAGCTTTATTCATTCTCAGCCTACCTTACCTGTTAGGATTATTTTGAGATTAAAATACACAAATGTTGAAAGAGCCATTAGGTTTAAAGTGCCTTAGAGAAGAGTGAATATGAAAATAAATTACAGCAAAATCAGTTATAACACATAGAGACAAACCATTAGGGAAGGCTTTTCTAACAGTAACATGAGATTAGTGAAGAATTTTAAATGTATCGGCAATACTAGTGGCAAAAATACAAGCGTAAATATTAGTAAATTGCAATATTGTAAAAAGTAATTCTTCTCATTTCCATTCTCCAGATAGTGGGAAAGCATTTTTGGTTCTTTTTTTTAAAGGTGGCCAATATTGGGAACAAGACAAATCTTTTGAGTAGATATAATATCAGCTTCCTCATTTAATATAATTCAAGAATCCTATTTTCTGGAGTGTTATCTATGCATAAGAGCCATTATATATCCAGCTTCAGAACAGGTAGGGTTAAAGTGTAGAAGGGACTTTGGCTTCATTTTATGCACTTCAAAAAAAAAAAAAAGCAAACTTGGGACTACAAAACAAAGCCAGATCTTAGATAAAAGTTATCTAAGTTTCATAGGTGGATTAGGTAGTGGAAGGGAGTGTTTGCTTTTTTTCTGAATTTACTTTGATGTGTTTACTTTTACTTTCTTTTTGGCAGCATTCACAGCAAGGAAACAACACAACTCAACTGGTAAAGGATTTGAAATAAACACAGATAACTGAGTAATTGAACCTCACAAGATCTTTTTGCTTTTTTGTATCCCTATTGCTAGCTTCTCTTTGACCAAGAGTTATATTTAAAAAACAGTGTGATTGTTTTAAAAACTACCCTGGCTTCTGCACTGCTTCTTTCTTCAGATTCAGATAACTTTAATATCAAATTTAAAGTTCTCTACTCTGAGAGAAGGATCAAATAAATAAATAAAATGCCTCAAGCAATTAAATGCAGGGATTTTGAAAAAATAAAACAACAAAGTTAGAGCAAGAATGAGGACTCTATGAAGTTAAAATATTACTCCCAATATCTTTAATAATGGTTATTTTTGTTGTGAATAATAGTAATACTGGAGGAACTTTAGGTTCCCCATTCCTAAAAGGCAAGGCAAGAGTCAACTCTTGTATTTAAGTTCTGCTTTGAAGAAAGACGCTAATATGATGCAGTAGCCAGGTCTGAGAGTAAAGGGACCACTTGTAATTTTTTAAGAAAAAAGTTAATGGTTCCTGGATGCCTTTTATCATTACTTGTTTCCAAACTTCATAGTTGTATCATGGTTGGTTCAAGGAATTTTCTCATCAACAGATAATAGTATAGGCATAAATATTGTAACGCTAATTTTTTGGAGTCAGGGGAATCTGTTTGCCTGCCTGATCCAGAAAAAAAATGTAATATACCATTCTTGTACATAGATAAACATACTTGACTTGTTTTCTTGATCTCCACAATTTGCAAATGTGTGTGTACTTGAATTTCTTGATGTTTCAGTTACATGCACTTGATTTGGGGGAAAATGTATAGGAATGTTGTATCAGAAATGTGTCTCATTTAAGTTCTTTCTAAACACTTTTTTTAGGTTTGGTGATCAGACAACGTTGGACTCCCAGGCTAACTTTAATTTTCCCTTCTCTTCATCAATTGCCACTTGCCACTGATGCAACAACCCTCTTTTCCAATATCATGAATGACTGTTGCCCTTTAAATTCATAAAACTGGCACTCTACAACTTGTTAATTCCCAGGGCATCACTGGAGCCTACAGCTTGGACCTCCTTTGTAAGGTTACCTGTATCTTAGTTTGCTGTTCAGTTGCCCTATTTGCCACATTCCTTCAGAACTGCAGTAAAGGATCAGTAGATGCAGCACTTGGCTAATACTGTCTGCCACAACATGATGATCCAGGAAAAAGCAGTTGAGAGCCTTCTTTTCTGCTGCATCCTTTTGTTTCCATGGTAACAGGAAGAGGCTTTGAAAGATAGTCCTGGAGCTGCTCTTTTAGGTATGGTGGAGAAGTGAAGACTGATCACCTAAGGGTCTGCAGGCTGAGGCCAGAACCAGCAGGGGAAGTTGTGTAGGCAAAGGTTGGGACTTGGGGTGGGAATTAGACCCAGATGAAATGAGTGACAGAAAGGATGAAGCTGAGAAGGGCCTGGTTTTAAAATGGCAGTGTTTAAAAGAGCTTGAATTACTGGACAAGGCTAGTTGGTAAGAAGTGCCAAGGATTAAGGATAACTGAAGGAGGAGTGATTTAATAGTTAACTGGGCTCTCCTCTCCAGCCGTAAGGGAAGTCTGATTAGTGGTTCGATCCTCACTGGCTCAAAGTTGACTCATCTTCCATCCTTCCAAGGTTGGTAAAATGAGGACCCAGATTGTTGGGGGCAATAGGCTGACTCTGTAAACTGCTTAGAGAGGGTTGTAAAGCATTGTGAAGCGGTATATAAGTACTATTGCTATTACTGGGGGTGGGGAGGGGTGATTGTTTTCTAAAACATGTCTGTTTCCATCATGATGAATAATGAGTGGACCATCGGCCAGATGCAAACTCACAATTATATTTTGACAGCCCACAGGGCATCTTTCTCAATTGGGACTAAAAAAGGATAAAATGATTGTGTTAAACCTTTGTGAATCTAAGGCACTCATTTTGTTCTTTAATCTTTCCAAGTCCACAGTAAAAAGACTGAAAATTTAGTTATGTCCACTCTGGTGATAACATTATGATACCAGCTCCGTACACTTAACAGGAATTCCTAAACTTTTTGCCATCATTCCCCTACCACCTTTAGTGTAATCTTAATATATACATCTATTCTAAAAGTCCAAAGGCCAAATGAACACAAATCAATAGAATGGGAAAGGTGGATTTATTGTAACAGTGTAACTATTTAAAAGGTTCCTAATATCACTCATGGACTCATTCTGCACCTCTCCAAAGGAATGGTACTTTACAGTTTGGCAAACTGGCTTTAGAGACAAGAAAGAAAGAAATGGAAGGGTGGATCATGCTTATAAAGAGATTTTGTACTCCTTTACATATTTCTACTAAAAATACACAGAATTATGGTGCAACACATTTTAAAAAGGGTAAGCTATGCATTTGTTACCTAATAGAAGAGGTATGAAATGAATTTTGGAAGGTTGTAACTTGATTTTGAATACTTTTTGATATCCCTCTTCGATGTTTTTATAATAAGCTCTCTTTATGTTTGTATAGTTGAGTTGACAACTGAGATACCAGATGGCTTCAAATGATGAAGACGCCATTGCTTGGTACCAAAAAAAGGTCAGGTTTAGGTTTGGTTTTTTGAGCTTAATATATTTGCTATGTAGTTAAGTTTACATCATAGCTTTAAACTGTGGGGGTTTATTTTAGAATTTGCACATTGGCTAAATCATTGTTTAAAATAGTTATTATTGGTGCTATTGTTAAAATATTTGGAGTGATTCTTTTGCTTGGTTTTAGACATAATTTGGATTTCTTATTTTAGCTGCACCTACTATCAGATTAGTATGTATATTTTCTGTGCTTCATTTTACATTCAATAAAACAGTTGTACAAACTCTACGTAAAGGTATTGAGGAATGAGTTATAAAACAAACCTAAAATACAGTTGTGTATTTTATTTCATAATCATAACTTGATTATAGTTGTCCTTGAATCTTTCAGCATTTTTATAACACATAAAATCATTTAGAATATTGATGATTGCTTGCTTTCTCCATCTGTAATAACATATCAATAAAACCTCTCCAAAATATTCCTTTCTATATCTGTAGTATTAAATAGAGGAATTCTAGGAAATAACTCAGTGAATTCATTTTTGTTTATCAAATTTCTATACCAATATTTGTAAATACTGAAATGTGAATATTTAAATGTTATTATTTTTACTAATACATTGGTGTTGAAGATAAAAGTAATATATGAGAAATAGCTGCTTTTTTTCAGATTGGAGCTTATGATCAACAAATATGGGAAAAGTCCATAGAACAGACTGAAATGAAGGTAAAAAAAATTTTGCTGACAATTTTGTTGAACTTCTTAATTCTTTATTTTATGGCCATGTGGAATGACATGGCTGAAATATGTTGTATGTAACCAATAGAATGACATGTAAAATATAAGGGGTTCAGTGAATATAGTGAAATATAATATTTAAAATTGCCCACATCTAATTAAAATGGAAAGTTGTAAAGTATTCATTGACTTACCATGTAATTGTTGTAGACAGTCACGCAATATTTCCTCATCATCATAAGTAGGAGTACTGTGCTTCATGGGTATTTGGATGTATAATTGAATCAAGGTCTAAGCTGAAGGAGAGGCATTATGAGAAATCAGAAGGACATTATACATACTGCAGTGAAGATTTGGTAGTATAGATGTAACTGACTGGGAACAAGGTGGAACCCAGTAGAGAACTAAGTGTGATAAAAATTATCTGGCTATGTTTCTAAATAGCAGACATACCCTGAAGAACATGAAAATCCTAGCTTTTATTAATATTTAAATTTACATGAAAGTCTCAAATTAAAATTTGTTTTAGTTTTTTCCATGCAATGTTTATGGATGGTCAAATGTTATGGAAACTGGCAATTAGAGATTGTCAGTATCAGAGATTGTATCTGATGTTTGTAATTCTGCTGATGGAAAGTGTCCACTTGTGGAATAATGGCCACTTTTAATTTTTGAAAATTCTGGAAACAATTGCATTTCATACTACTCTGATTAAGTAACAGTTAAGTTCATATTTGGGGCTACAGAGGGGAGAAAATATTTTGAAATCTTGCTGCTGTCTGAGCCATCAATAGACACATAGAGATAAAATGCACCAATAAGAATGAAACAAAAAAATCAGAACACATACTTTCCAGCAGCCAGATAAATGGGGATCAACACAAGACAAACAGGTGGAAAATAATAAACTAATCAAGGAACATCTGGGGAGAAAACCCTACCCCGATCGGCACTGGCAGGGCAAGCTGTGGTGTATAAACAGGAAAGAAACCCCTTACTCACTAGCATTGACATTGTTACCTAGTTGGGTAATAAAACATCTGCAAGCAAACAAGTTTAGAGAACACCATGACTCCATAGTTCAACCTGAGTTACTTATATTCTCTTCCACTAGAAAAGTGTTATTATGTTCCTGATTATGATGGATGTCTTCTCAGAGATATGTGCAGCACTTGATTTATACAGTATACAATTTTTTTCAGACAGATTCTGAATCGTAAAGGCATATGGCAGTACATTTATAAATTAAAATGCAGTGGCAGTATTGTAGTTAGTGAGGTTTATCTGATGCGCAATTATTACTTTGCTCATATATCTTTACATGAAAAAAATGGCAGGTATTCTCTGATATAGCATTGCCCTATGTTAATCTTTATATGGTATTGGATGACAATTTCTAGAATTCTCAGCCAATTACCCTAACAGCATGGTAGCTCAGCAGTTAAGATGCTGGGCTGGAAAGCCAGGAACCCAGGTTCGAGAACTGAGTTCCACATGATAGGGTGAGCTCCTGTTCTCACCCCAGCTCTTGCCAACCTAGCTGTTTGAAAGCATACAAATGCAACTAGATAAATAGGTACCACTTTGGTGGGAAGGTAATAGCGCTCTGTATGTCATGTTGGCCACACGACTGTGGAAACAGTCAATGCTGGCTCAATAGCCTTGAACGGATATTAGCATTGTCCCCTAGAGTCAACAGTAGCTGGTGGAGTAATATCTGCAGGGACTCCTTACCTTTTTACCCTAAGAGCTGGGAATTGGAGAAGGTTATTCTGTGCTTCCCGTATGAACATGACTATGAAAGAGTAATTGTAATAAAATATGTATTCTGTGAGATCCGGGAAACTATTAATTATAAAATATTCTAATTGTTTATTACTAAATGTGCAGGGCTTCAAAAGCAAACCCAGAAAGAAAGGCCACATACAGCCTGACTTGATAGATGTTGATTTAATAAGAGGTATGAACCATTTGAAAATTTAATCACTTGTGTTAAATTTGCAAAACATTTATACTCTATGCAGTTAGTGATGACAAGTAATACCTATTATACAGATAAAGTCTTTAGTACTTGTCTTATTTTATTTATAATTTTATTATAAATAAAATGCCTGTTGTGCTTTTTAGACTTTCATGGCAGCTTAGAATAATTAAAAGCAAAATTAAATCAGAAGATATTTTAAAAGGTAGCAGAGATTTTCATTTAAGCAAAACAAAATATTTCAAGGTCCTATCTAAAATTAATAAAGTCAGACTTCTTGGAGATCCCCAGCATTATCCTCCGAAGATAATGTTCTGGTGGCTGTGTTTTGTACCTAGCTGAAATTTTGAAATATTCTGTGTTCCTATGTAGAGCATATTATAAAAATAATCTTTGTTAATAAAATATTTGTAACAGATACATTCCTACAAAAAATAGGAGAGGTGGTGCATCTGCCAAAATTTTACAGAAGAACTCCTAGCTACCATTTGACAATGCAAGATCATAAAGAATCCTAGATACACTGGAACAGAGAATATTCTCTTTCAAAAACAGTGTAACCCCATCCAGAACAGACTAAGCATCTAATTTTTAACTAGATTTCTTAAATGTATAGTCTCTTTAAAGGAAAACTGAACTCTAGCTGATTTCATGGACATTTCCATGAAGCATTCTTGGCAATAGGGCAGAAGTGCTTTGCTATTGTCTCCTGGATTTTTTTCTTAAGGGGGGAGGCGGATGCTTCCTAGTCTTGCCTCCAATCTTGGCATTTCCATTCCAGTGCTTAAACCAGGCCTGAAAACAGCACATCTGGCTTGTATGGATTAAATTTCAACTTGGTGCTGGAACCAAATTTCTGTTCAGAGCTTCCGATTGTGGCCACAAATATCATCTGAAAAATGAAAATAGAATATTGATTGTCCAACCAAATCCCTCAATAAATGTCTCACAGTTCTCATTTTCTAAGAGAATCATGGTTTGAGTAGGAAAAAAATAACAGCTAATGCACTTTTCTTGATTATTTTCTGAAATGCTTGTTTTCATTATATAAAATTTTCAGGTTCCACATTTGCCAAAGCTAAACCTGAAATTCCTTGGACATCACTTACAAGGAAGGGAATTGTGCGAGTTATATTATTCCCATTTTTTAGTCAGTGGTGGATACAAGTCACTTCTTGGCGTATATTTATGTGGCTGTTAGTACTGTACCTTTTACAAGGTGAGTAGAGATTAAAATTATGCTAGGATTATTTAACAATCTAATAAATTAACTTTGGGTTTGCTCATTTAAATAGATCTAATTTTGAAATTCCATATTAAACCATGACTTATGCTATGACAGAACTTACTACCATTGATTTTTAAAAACAACAAATATTTTATAACATTGAATACAAAGACTTTATTTCGGGAGCTTCCCTTATGTGTAATATTTGTTTATTATATGAACAGGCTATCTGAAGATGGGAATAGAGCTTGATCTTCTATTTGTGGATTTGTGGAAGGAATTAGAAGGGATATTTGGGGTGATCAATGATCTAAAGCATATTCATTAACTTCCAAAGGCTTAATTGCATTTCAGTGAAAAGCAGTACAATCTCAATGTATCCAGAACTGGAAGTGGGTCATAGAGCAGTGAAAGTAGGAAGTTGTCTTGTATTAATACTACAGATTATATCAAATCTGAACCACAAAGAAATAAGGAAGATTAGAAAGTCCAAACTAATACATTGACAGTATGGTCAGAGACATGTGTGATATAACGAGAGGGGTGGGGTGGCGGTCATGGTCCCAGTGATATTCTGGGTAGAAACATGAATAATTCTGCATTGAAACCAATACAGCAGTGGAATAACAGAAGAAGAATAACAAATATTCTTCTAGAAGAAGAATAACAGAAGCAGTGGAATAACAGAAGAAGAATAACAAATATACAGAAGAATAACAAATATGTCATCAGGAGGCACAACCAAGGGCTTGAAAAAAGGAGAGGTAAAATAAGAGATCTCCCATTTAAGAGGACTGTCTCATTATCCAGAATTTCTGATAATCTAAGTTCAAAATAAGTGACTTGGCCAACTTGAGATGATGCTGAACAAGCAGAAGAGGGAAAGAGATGTGTCACTATTGCAATTGCATGGAAAGGATTTTCAGATTTGATATTCCAGGGTTGAAGATATAGTAAGGATATAAGAGACAGGATAGTTCAGGCTATGGCAAAATGTTTGGAATGGGAAGAAGACATGAAAGTAGAAGTGTATAGAATTAACATAAGATCTGCCAAATTAAAAAAAAAAATTTTTGTCAGAAAACGAGATGAGATTCTACAAGAGCATATCAGTACTAAAAGATAGCTAATTCAGATGGAATGCTGCTTAAAGAAATACCATTCAGAATTATTTAAAAAGACTTATGGGCGGTTGGTTTTATATATGGTGACTGCAGTGAGGTTATTATGTGCATAAAGATGGAAAAAATATAGAAATATCCACAATGGAGGAATGTACTGTGAAAATGGTAGAACTTGCAGAAATGTCTAAATTGATTTATCTTATTAAGGAAGGGACAATCATTACTTTTATAAAAGACTGGAAACCCTTTATGGAATTTTTGTTTAAATGAATAAAATGAATTGGTGATTTTGTGATTTACTAATTAAAAATGTTGCTTGTGGGAAGAAGGGAACCCAGACAAGTAATTTGGCATGGTGGAAATGGTAATAGTCATGCAAGTAATGGTTGCAAAGAAAATTGGAATTTCTTCTTTAGATGTCTTTTTCTTTTTTCTTAACTCTATTTCTCACTTTTTCCTTTCATCTTTATATATCCACTTTTTCCTTTCATCTTTATATATCTTTTTCCTTCTTTTTTTCCTTAGTTTTTATAGTTTTTCAATTCTGTGTAAAATTATTTGCCAATTAAAATTTGTATGTATATGTGAGTGGTGTGTGTATTTATTATTGGAAAAACATATTAAGGTAGTCATATCATTTGCAAGACCCACAAAAATATTTCAGAAACTGCTCCTGGCTATCTTTTCACAGCCAGCATTTATAGCTATTCCTGTGTGTGTAAAACACCTACTTTGAAGGCTTTGGGTAGCCCCAATATCTATTGCATTTAAAATTGTAATTTGTATCATGCCAAGATTTGAGGAAGGGATGTCAGTAAATGCAGATTAAGGTACCATCTAATATTAGATCATGGGAGTAAGGAGTAACAGTCAATAATTGGTTTAGTGTTAAACTTCTGTCCATTATAAATCAACCCTAAATTCATATTTTTACCACAATTAGCAAAGGAGAAACTCAGTGCTAAGATTACATATGCAGTTCTGGAGGCTATTATATTAAATTTCTTTTATTTTTAGAAGTATAACAACATTTTTGTCAGTACAATTTTTTTATATGTAGCATTTTTACATGGTATGCATTTATATATAAGTATAGTACAAATCTTATTTTTACTTGTTAGACAATTTATATACTTTTTTTTCAGTTGTAGCAATTACATTATATTCCATAATGCCAGTAGTGAGTGCAAGTGAAATCATTGGACCATTGTGCCTTATGCTACTCATGGGAACTGTACACTGTCAGATAGTATCTACTCAGTTATCTAAATCTTCAGGAATTGATGGGAGCGGTGTTGGTCGAAGAAGGAGGTGAGAGATGAATGTCTGTAGCTTGGGGAGGAATGCTCCTTTTCAGATGAGAGTATTTCTTTGCATCCTGCTTAAAGGCCATTTTTCTTATAATATGCATTGTGTGAATTGTGTTTCTGCTTTCACTATTATTGCTAATTCACTTGTTTTACCTAGATTCTAATAAGTTACAGCTTTCATATTTAACTTTAGAAATATGTGCTAATTTGCACTGTTTACATATCACTCTTGAGTATAAATGTGTCAAAGCAGATTCCATAAAATGATAATAGGCATACAGTAAGCATGAAATAATAAAAACAATTAACTTATTGCTTGAGCATTTTAAAAAAGTAGAAAAAAACCAAGGGGATATTGGGGCAACTAGGTTCATTTTTTGCAGAAATAATTTATTTAGGAGCTTGCTTAATCTCAGCATTTTTTCAAATAACAGGCTCTGCTATAGACTCTGCCTATCTCTATTCCACAGATTGATTAATATCAGTAGGTTCAGTACAGTTAGCAAGATATACTCAGCAAAGAATAGAATAGAATAGAATAGAATAGAATAGAATAGAATAGAATAGAATAGAATAGAATAGAACAGAGCTGGAGGGGACCTTGGAGGTCTTTTAGTCCAGCTCCCTGCTTGAGCAGGAGAACCTGTACCATTTCAGACAAGTAACTGTCTAGTCTCTTCTAAAATTCTCCAGTGATGGAGCACCCACGATTTCTGGAGGCAGGTTGTTCCACTGGTTAATTGTCCTCACTGTTAGGAAGTTTCTCCTTAATTCCAGGTTGCTTCTCTCTTTGATCAGTTTCCAACCATTGTAGAGAGATTAAGTAGATCATGATGTATAGAGGAAGAAGGCAGTTCCTTTCATAACTGAGTTCTGAGTTGTTTATAAATCAACAACAAACTGATGAAAATAATTCATATTTAATTTTTACAGAACAGTAACATGAGCTCTTTGTGGGATATAATCAGATATTTTATCAGTGAAGCAACAAATATATATTTCCCTTTTATCATTAGAGGCATTGTTAAAGATCAGGATTTCTCCTTCACAGTACTTCATCAGTTTTTAATTTAATGGCTAGTGTTTTTAGATAGAAAATTAAAGGTGATATTAGCCACAGTTAACTATATAGTTTAAACCCTCCTCATTTCATGCATGGAGGAAGTTTTAACATACTTTGTTGCTAACATTTTTGAGATAATATACAGATGGGGTAGAGAAAGTGAAGTCTAGTATAAAATACCAGAATCATCAATTCAGTCTAGAACCAAGTGAAAAACTGGGATGTCTCATTTTCATTATTACATGCATAAATATGTATTTATTTATTTCTCACTTTATAAACCTCCCATTTCCCTCATAGAGCAACTCTGGGCTTATAGATTCTTTCTTTGTACTCTTATTAACGGGCATATGCACATATTTATTTTATTTATTAATTAAATTTCTATGCCACCTATCTTCTCTACAAGGTGTTTCTGGGCATTATAGACACTTAATTCCTTTATGTGGTATTTCAGCATCCTAAATCCTACGGCAATCTCAAAAGACATATCTCTGTGAATATGTATTTTATTCATAATTGGCATCTGGTAATATTTATATTCTCTGGTACAGATATGTTAAAAATTCTGCAGGTTTGAAGAGGGAGAGATTTATTATCAAACTCAAATTTATGCTATTTTTTTTAATCTAGAAAAATGCGCAAATTTGCAGGAGGTGACGTCTATACTTCCTCTGAGAAAATAGGCAGAAGCGAGGAGCCATTGGAGTCCTCATCCAGGATCAGCAGCTTGTTTGATTCAGTATTGCGCCGAAGGAGCAGGGAAGGGTACGGTTGGTAATATTAGTTCGTTTAGAAGATACGACTGAAATTTTAACTGGCTTTTAACTCTAATTCTGATATTGCTCCAAGATTACATCATGTAATTTATTATGGCCAGTTATGTGCATTTCTGAAAAGGGCCTGTCAAATTGTCTTTCTACAACTGCTGGATTCTCATCTTTCTTCAGTCCTACCTCATTTATATTTTTATACCACATTCCATGAGGCAACTCAGATAGCTTAAAAGTTTTCCCTCCCCACTTTTATAAATTACAGCAGTCCGATGTAGATTCTATTAAGACATGAATGACTCAAAACTCATCAGAGCCTTCATATTTAAGGAGGAATTTAAATTATTATTGCCTTGTTCCTAGTCCAGCATCCAATAGTGTGTGTGTAACTTTGATTTGCCAATGAAGTGCCTGATATTGCCTTGCTTTACATAAAAGTATTATCAGGAAGAATGGGAGAAATGTTATTCCTTTATTTTCTCTCAGCACATTCTGTGTCAGATAGATGGGAAACTTCACATTTTTAATAATTTAAGTTTTGATAGATTTTAAAATAATTAAGCAGAAATTTCATCTTCTGTATAATGAGGATTGGATTTGAAACTTGCAGTTTGATTTTCACAATTCTGCAAGTTTAATTTGAGGAGATCATGGAAAATTCTGTGTCTTCTCAACTATGTCTTGATTTTAAAAGTGTGAATAAGGAAGATATGCATTTCCTTCCATAGGGTGAAAAGGGGGAAACGGGTAGTCGATAAAGGGTCTGAAACAGAGCATAGCAGTGGTATAAAACGCAGGATTTCCAGATCTGAACACAGTTTTCAACGTTCGAAGGATTCTGAAATGCAGTCAAATTTAGATAGAAAACAGGTAAAGTTTGAACTTGATGTGTTTGCTTGATGCAAATGTCAAATTTCCTCAATATGAACAATAGCACATAGATTAAATCTTATCCACTCATCTGAATTTTGAAAAATATGGAAAACCTCTCCAAAACATTTTTATCATTATACAGATAATATTATTATCGTTTAATTATAGAAAATAAAATATAATACAATTACATAATATAATTTCTGGACATAGTTATATTATTGCCTGATTGTCATAAAGTAAACAGTATTTTTTCTGTTTTAAACTTAAAATTAACTTCTTCCAACAATGCAGCTTGGATCGAAATGATGATTGTTATCAGTTTTTAAAATACAGGAACTTAGTTGGGATTCAGGAAGGAGAATAAAACATCTATAATTTTTATTTCAACTTTCCTTCAAGGAAATAAGCTTGGCATACTGCACATGGATCCTCTTCATTTTATCCTCATAGCAGTTATAGGAGTTAAGCTAGGCTGAAAGGAATGATATGAGTTTCACAGATAAAAAAATTCAAAACCCAATCTACTAGATCATAGTTTAATATTACTTGTCAGTCATAATAGTGAAGATATACAGGTAGTCCTCAAATTATGACCGCAGTTGAGCCCAAAATTTATGTTGCTAAGTGAGAAATTTGTTAAGTGAGTTTTGCCCAATTTTACGACTTTTCTTGTCACAGTTGTTAATTGAATCACTGCAGCTGATAAGTTAGTAACACGATTGTTAAGTAAATCTGGTTACTTCATTGACTTTGCTTGTCAGAAGGTCGCAAAAGGTGATCACTTGACCCAGGGACACTGCAACCATCATAAATGTGAGTCAGTTCACATGACCCTGGGGATGCTGCCACAGTCATAAGTGTGAAAAATGGTCATAAGTTACTTTTTTCAGTGCTGTTGTAACTTCGAAAGGTCACTAAGCAAACTGTTGTAAGTCGAGGACTACCTCTAATGGAATTCCCTGCAGGAAAACAGATGGTCCATAGCTATGGAGTTGTCCTACATTAAGTAAACTGGAGTGTTTGTGGAGGAGATTTCAATCATGTCATTAGATTAATCATTTCTACACTGTGCAGCCATGTAATGTGTAACATTATTACAGTATACATTTGTCTGTGTTAATGTATATTTTGTTTGTACTGCTATAGAATAAATTGTTACTGATTACTTCCTCTGGTATAAATAGGTTGCATGAATGTGAAACTGTCTCATCCACTTGATGTTAATCCTGATTAATGTTCTTTTAGACTATTTCTAGACAGTCAGGCATTTCTGATGAATTGTCAAGCGAGGAGGAAACAGATAATGCTGGTCAGGTAGTTTTGCTGCGCAGAAGCGTAGAAGGTGGCCCTAGTATAACTGTAACTGAAGATCAGGGCAAAAAGTCTTCTCTTATTTCTCCATCTGCCTCAACAAATCAGTCAGTGTCACAGGTAAGTGTTGTCAAAAACTGTTATCCCACTTAACTTAGGCAACAAATGCATTTCACTTTTATCAAATTAAGAAAGAGATGAAGCCAGCCTTCAACTGCTGTGTGCTCCATTTGTGTTGGGAAAGCAACTCCTAGAATTACTAGCTAATGCACCCATATCTGCAGGACACCAGAAAAAAAGTATAATAATTATTAACCCTAACCTTAACCCTGAACTAGTAGATTATAATGTTCACAATTTATACTCCTTGGTATTTATTTAGGGATCTCTGGAAGCAAACTAAAAAAATATTGTTCAGTGTCTCTATATTCTGTTTTCTAGATGGATAAAAATAAATATAATAGTGCTGACATTAAACAAATGATATAAGATTAGATATTTAGCACTTCTACCCATTTAGAGTCCATTTTTAAAGCAAAACCAATTGCTGTTGGGCAGAGAAGGTTTGGCAGACAGGGCCATTTGGTAGTACTACAAAATATCATTGGAATTATATTTTAACTGGTTTCTATTCCTGCCTTGGACAGGAATAAGAATTTCAGCTGAATTCAGGATGAGGTCATGGGCCCGAATAGTTCAATTTTGTTTGTAAAAGTCAGAAAAATGGCCTGGAAGGCAAGAACCCTTCTTCTGCTATCATTTGTCAGTCACGCTGTCTGTGATTCAGGATATGGTAAACATCCATAAAAAATGATGGTCATTGATAACCTCATCCCCCATGAACCCCTCTCCCTATTTAAAACTATCCAAATAGGCCAATATTACCACAACTGCCAGCATTGAATTCCAGTTTAACTATGCACTATGTGAAGAAGAATAGTGTTTATTGTTCTTGATATTTATTTATCACAATTAATATAACATTGTGATACAGGGAGAAAATCATATTCATAGCATGGGTTATATAACATTCAGTTCTTGGTTGGGATTCTGAGTATCCCTTAGGATTAGATCCAGTGTTTTATGTCTCCCTCTTGGCTTGATAACTAACAGTTCCAAAGCACAATAATTTAATGTAGTCTGTTTTATTAGCTGAGTATTGCTGAACCATCCATTTTTAGTTAGGAATGTAAATGGTTTCTTCTTACTAACTGCCACTCTCCCATCCTCACTAGGAAGTTCCTGGAGCTTATATATGTATGTATGTATGTATGTATGTATGTATGTATGTATGTATGTATGTATGTATGTACTTAAATAGTTTAATCCTTGGATTTTATATGTATAGAATCTCTGGTTATTGCCCTTTTACTCACTGAAAGATTCTGATGCTAAGTCACTTGCAAGAAAAGATCTCTCCCATCATATTCCTCCAGTCAGCAGTATAGAAAGTTGAAAAACAAGGAAGAGTGAAGGTCTTCTAAGAGTGGATTCTCTTCACAGATATAACTGGAGAACCCAGTTATTTGAATAATATGTACACATATATTGTCCTCACTTACCTATCATAATTGGGACTGTCAACCCAGTCACTAAGCGTTGTGGTGACTGAATGAAAAATCACATGACTGCAGTGGACTTATGTCATTTCTACTTTTGTCATTAAGCAAATCACCACAGTTGTTAAGCAAGACATTACATTGTAATTTCAGTTTTATGTTCTCCATTAATTCTGTTTGGTGAAAGCTGATTGTGAAGTTTGCAAAGGGTGATCACATGATCATGGGATACTGTGATAACTATAAATGTGAGGATTGGTTGCAAAGCTGTTTTTTTTTTAACCATCATGACTTTGAACAGTCACTAAACACGGCAGTTGGTAAGCCAGGACTACTTATGGACACATATATATTTGTCTTTTGAATAAGTACAATATAATATAATATTGTATTTTTAATACAGTATATAACATCTTTTTTGCTTTGAAGATTTTCTACATTTTAGTTCTTCACTCATTCTTTTTGTGATCTGAGGCAGGTCAAGGAGGTTGTGAAATCTATGCAAGATTCGGACAGCTTAGTGGAATCAGAACTTGAACTAACAATTCCTCAAGAGGTATTCAGAATTAAAAATTACAATTTGTCCTTTGTGAAGATCCTGAATGTAACTGATCCTTTTTTCATTATTTTGATTTAAGATTCTTCTCAGCATCATCTGAGAGTGGAGCTGGAATGACATAGGCAATGAGCCATGTTTTAATCATGTTTGGGGGAATAGATAATAGTGACTCACATTTAATGATAATCCTGATAGCTGTGTTATTCAGTGTGTTAAATCAAAACCAATTAGCACATTATAGTTTCACATAAGGACAGGGTATTTGAGATCTCTGAAGTCCTTGGGAATTGTGCCCTTGAAATTGAAACAACAGGCAATCAGATTACATTGGCAAAAAAATTTCTCATATAGTCTGAAAGAACTCTCTTTCATTTCTCAGCTGTTGTGGAGTGAACTAAATACTGATATTACTCTGTAGAACATTCTTGGTTTAATACAAGTGGTAGAGCAGGACATAAACTCATTTGCAAAACAACATTTCTATGTTTCAGAATTAATCCCTACATAGAAATATGTTCCATGTTTTTGTTTCTATGTTTTATTAATATTTCAGTATTTTTAGTATAGTTCAATAATCCATTATAGCACTTATTGGATTTGACATCAGGAAGTAGGTATATCTATTCTATCATACCAATAATAGTGTTATGTTCTTGATTAGTAACTTAGAGCTTACTCTAATTTTTCTGCAGCACTGATGAATTGGAATATTTGACACTAATATTTTGTGGTATTTAGAAAGATAAAGATAAATCTGTGTCAGACAGTTTTCATGATAAAGGAGGTTACTGGGATTGTGTTGGTACCTTTCCATGGGATTGGGCTTTTTAAAAATTATTTATTATCATTCTGATTTAATATAGCCACCCATTTCAGTTGCCTGCACCATTGTAACTTAAATGAATTAAAAGATTGACATGAGTATCTTATTAATATCTTATAAAAAAAATCAGTGATTGGTTTTAATTGAATTAGGATTGCAATAATTATTTTCTGAACATTTCCTCATAGGAGTCCAAAGCCCAGTATAGTAGTGAATCTCAAAGCGGTAGTATTTCTCATAGAGATTCGGAGAGTACTCGTCATGACTCTGAGACAGAAGATATGTTATGGGACGATTTGCTTCATGGACCTGAATACCGATCCTCTTTCACCAGTGACAGTGAGGAAGCAAAAGGAAAAGACAGAAAAGCAAGCAAACGAGATCTGAAGGATGATGTTTTCCAGCAGGTCTGTAGAATGCAAAGCGTTCCTCCTTGTGATGGTAGCTTAAACAAATAAAACATTGGGAGATAGTACCAGAAATTCCTCTTCATGTTCTCTGGCAACAAGCTGTGATACTAGTTTTTTATGGATTTTTGTCCAATTGTATAAGTTCATGGTGCCATTTTATTTGGATAAATAAAATGGATTTTTTCAGTAGAGATGGTTTACCATGTAGCAAGAATTAAAAAAAAGTTTAATTTAGACATACTGTAACTTACTGTGTTACCACAGGAATATGGAATTAAAGCAAAAGTTTTCAGATCTTGATTGCTCATTGATGAAATGCAAGATTCTACATGTATGGGGATAAGGTGATTTGGTGACTTCTTAAAGAAGCTATGTCTTTTCCTGGGCTTATATGGTGGAAATCAGGGAATCCAGGAAAATATCAGATTGTTACAGGATATTATTAGGTACTGGGTGCCTGCCCTCACCTAATCTAAATCAGCTTTTCCTATTTGAATCTGAAACTATGGTGGTAGTCTTTCTCAGATAGCAGCATTAACTCAAGGGCACTGAAAAAAGTATTCTTGATTTGATGATGCACCTATTAATTTCTTTACTAAGTGCCTTCAACCAAAAGGCAGGTGTGATTATAGCCATTTATTACAGATAGAAAACATTTAATGTCTCCCTCTCTCTTGTCATATCCCTGGAAAGAGAAGATGGGTTATCTTGAAGCACTTTAGTCCCAACAGTTCTTGCCACTTACAGAGTGCACAGCCCAAACCTCACCACAAGCTTTCACACACAAACATTAAAAATACATTCAAATATTCAAAGACACAGAGACTTCCTCCCCTGCTACTTCCACCAGCAGGAAGAGGGCTCCCCTCATTCACCCCCACCAATACATCCCTTGATTTTCACCCAGAGAAAAAAAAATCAGACCATTTACCATGATACTCAATACAGGGGGAAAAACTCCATAGAAGCCTATTATTCTACTGTAGAGCCCTCCCCCATCTGCCCACTGCCCACACTTTCTAAGCCCCAGCATCCCATAGGAAAAAAAAATAGAGCAGCTAATACGGAAAAGCATCCCAAAATGTTAGAGGCTATGAGGGTCTGGAGTGGGAACAACTGGCTTCGGTTGAACTCTGGTAAGACTTAATGACCCTGGGTTTGGTTCCAAGACTGTGCATCTTTGGTGCTGGATGGGATGGCACTGCTCAGGACAGACCCAGTGTGCAATTTTGGGGTCCACTTAGGCTCATGATTCCTGCTCAAAAAGCAAGTGGCAGTCACCATTAGGAGTTTGCATAGCTTTGTCTTATGTGTCAGTTGCACTTGTTCCTGGATCAGCAGGCCCTGCTTACAGTCACTCATGCCTAGTCACCTCCAGCTTTGCATGGGGCTGCCCTTGTAGAGTATCCAGAAGCCTCACCTGGTACAAATGTAGGCAGTTATGTGTGCTCCTAGAACAATGTATGTTACACATTTGTTCTGCAATTTGGCTGCCAGTTTGCTTCTGAGTCTAATTAAAGATGTTGGTTTTAACCTTTAAAGCTCTTCATGTCATAGGACCTCTCTCTGGTTACATCAACCCATCCCATTAGATTTGGCATAGACGACATGTTGTAATGTTCCTGGTGGGTCCCAGGAAATAGGCTTTCTCTGCTACGATGCCCACTTAGGGAACATTCTTTTCCCTGAAATTAGATTAGCGCCATCCCTTTTGACATTCCAGAAGTTCCTTAAGACCTGGTTATGTTATCAGGCCTGGGGCTCCCAGAAAACTGGAAACATGCTTCATTGACTTCATTGCTGAGGTAGCTGTTCTTATCCTCTCTTTGCCTAAGGTTGTGTATTTGTTTTGATAATATTTTTAATGTGGATTATTATATTTATGTGTTGGTTGTTTTAGATATGTGTTGTTTTATTGGATTATTGTGGGCCACCCAGAATCAAGTTTTGTGAGATAGACCTCTATAACCATTTGATAAATCAATCAATCAATCAATCAATCAATAAACTGACTATAAGGAGTTCACGATTAAAAAAAATACTGGGGAAAAGCCCCTGGATGCCCTGTTACCTGGAATATAGTGACATCAGAGAACATATGTTAATGGTTCTTATTCTTGTAATTATCAAATATTTCAAGTTTCTGTTACAGACAACGGAAGATTAAAATGCTCAGTGAGGATAAAAGTTAGACTAACATTCATGCTTGCTCAGATAGGAGCCATCTTTTGACCTGTATGAAGTTAATGGTAAAATGTTTGCTCAGTAGCATTAAATGAGGTGTTTTGAAGCCATTTTCCCCCATATTAGACAAGACTTTACAGAATATGGCATCAATATGTATTTTTTTCCCCTCAGAATCACTTGTTCTGGCTGCAGAATACAAGTCCTGCTTCTACCAAAGTGAGTGCGCTCATCTGGGAGGGGAATGAGTGCAAGAAAGTAGACATGTCTGTTCTGGAGATCAGTGGAATCATCATGAGCAGGGTAAGGATTATGTCCATTCAGTATATTCTTATAGAAAAACTGGCAGCTCTATTCTGTGCAGCTTGTTCTGTATCCACAAGCAAAATATGTATTTATTTGTTTGTTTGTTTGTTTGTTTGTTTTACATATTTCTGAGCTGCGCATCTTCCTCAGAGAGGGGCTCTGGGTGGTTAATACAAGAATGTGTGATTTTGGAGGAATACAGTAGATATTTTAAGTTGGAAGTTCAGTGGGTTGCCTTTTTCCAAAATGATAGAAAATTGTTTTTTATGTGATTGCAAATTTACATGTATGCCATTTTGCAATCTCATCTTCACTGAGTTGAATCTAATGTTGAATTTCCATTCTTATGTAATGCTGCATTTTTAGATGCAGCACACTAATTCATAATGCAATGGTTTGTATGTCTCAATGTACAGTCTGCAGTGCTGATATTGGTTTCCCCACCTTTAGGTCAATGCCTTTCACCAAGGATCTGGTTACCAATGGCTGGGCAATATTGTTACCATTGGTTTAGCTTTCCTTCCCTTCCTCTATCGACTCTTCCATTCAAAGACTTTTGAGCAATTGTGGTCCTTGACTGCAAAAGAAGTTTTGCATATCTTTTGTGGGGGTCCTCCATTCCCCCCTATAATCGTCCTTGCAATGATCATCTTTCTGGAGCGCCTTTGCCTCACCTGGATGTTTTTCTTCATGATGTGTGTTGCTGAGAGGACTTACAAGCAGGTTAGTTTTAGTTGTCAAAAAAATAAAAGAACCACATAACTGCTAATGAAAGCACTGCTCTCTGTCACTGTCCCTTGCTTTTGCCACATGGTTGTGTCAGGTGGCAAAATTAATATATTGTCATTATATTGCATGTTTCTCTATGACAAACAAGTATCAGTTCCCCTTCTTATAATGTCATTTCTGTTTTAGAGAAATATGTATCATTAAAATGTTCTGCAAAGCTTTTGAAAGGTAGCAGTCAGAAAAGATCTGCCTATAATTTTCAAATGATAATGCATGTAATTTGCTCTGACTGACACTTTTCTTTGCAGCGTTTTCTGGTTGCTAAACTTTTTAGCCACATTACCTCTGCTCGGAAAGCAAGAAAATATGAAATCCCACATTTCAGACTCAAGAAAGTAGAAAACATTAAAATCTGGTTATCACTTCGTTCCTACTTAAAGGTAAGTGATATAGAAGCACTGAAATCTCAGCCTTAAACAAAAGATTCAGATTGTGGAGAGGATTTGGGTTTTTGCTCTTTATATGTAATTCTGCATTATTTTAATTTTGTATATTTGTTTTGCCAGAGGCGAGGCCCTCAACGATCTGTTGATGTAGTTGTATCCTCCATATTCTTACTGGCTCTTTCAATTGCTTTCATATGCTGTGCACAGGTAAGATCTCTGGGTTTATTTATTGACTGTTTTACTAGAGCTTTCAGATCCTTTGCATTTTCGGCTATCAGGTTAGTGTCATCAACATAGTGGAGGATATTGATGTTTCTTCCAATTTTAAGACCATGTTCATCCCCCAATTCAGTTTATTTATTCAATTTCTATAGCCACCCATCTCAGCCAATGACTCTGAGTGGCTTACAATTCAAAAAATATATTACAATTAAGAAACTCAAAGCTTTTTAAAACAGTAAAAAAATAAGAACATCCTAAATAAATATACATACCAGCTGAGATATTTGGCTAGTTAGCAGTACAATCAGGAAATAGGGCCTTAACATATACATCACCCCATGGCAGGAAAAAATGTAAGGATAGTATCTGGATAGTACTTGGATGGCAGACCATCATAATGACCGGGGCTCATTAATCTGAGCTAGAAAATCAGACAAACATTCTAGATGCAATGAAAAGTCCTCCCAAAAGTTCTGTCCCCCAAGTGCATAGACATAAACATTAAGTTAAAGTTGAAGAAAGTTTAAAAACCTCCAAAGTTTCTTAACCATATTCAGCATGTATTGATTGTTTCATGTAGCATTACCCAGAAGAAGTCATTTAACCAATAAATAGCAGTTGTGAAAACCTATACTCTGCAATTATAGCCATTTATCTTTTTGATAGTAGAAGGCATGAAACTCACTTGATTTGCACACTGAAGTTAAAGTGGACAGTGAGTGGCAGAGGACTCTTTTTTTAATTTTGTGATTGGACAATATTACTCATCTTTATTCAAAACTGAGGAAGATTCCACTTGCCTGGTCTGTTTCTCTGCCCTTGTGTTGTAATAAATGCATTGTGTGCTAAGAAGCATATTGATTTGTTTATCAGCTTGTATGCCATTTTAAACCTTGGGGAACTCTAGACATCTTAGATACTGGAGCAATGCACAATATATATTTTTTGCCAAGCTTTTGAATATTTCAGGAATTTGAGGGTAAAGGTTCGTTCTCTGAGCTTTTGGGTTGGTTTCCAAATGTTTCGTTACCAGGCTAGGTAACATCTTCAGCAGCATTTAGAGGATGTCTGTGTCATGCTTTTCTATTTATAAGGGCTTCAGGTGTGGGTGTGTCAAGTGAAGGTCTTGTGATGAGTCATTAGAGAGAGGCTTGTGATGGGTCTTGAGATGGGGAGGTTACATCAGGTCAGCGTCATTGGGAGGTGAACTGCTGGGGAGAGGGGCTTGTGTGGGTTGATTGGGGTTGGGGCTGACTTCGGCTGGCTGTGCGATTGATTGGATTCTATGGGCTTCGTAGGCTGGTTGTAAATAAATTTCAGGAATTCATTGTACTGTAGCCTCATAATTTTGATCTGGAAACCTGTGGATTAGAATATAAATGTGTGAATTTTGTATTAGAAAGTTGGAAAATGAAGAGCTCACATCTGCAATTAGGTATCCATAGCTAGAGAAATTTGGATATGGACAGTTACAACAGGAAAGATAAAGTTCAGTAAATGAAAGGAAAAAAATCATTCTGCAAGTACATCCCCCTTTTTCCCTGCAGTTTGAACTAACCTGGCTTTAAGAGCATGTGCTGAAGTAACTTGTAGTCCTCTTAGGTCTTCTGGACACAGGGTGTTCTTACTGTGCAGGATGCAGTGTTAAATTATTAACCAAGCTCTGTTCTAGAACAAAGTTAACTTACAGTCTGTGTGCTGATTGTTGTTGTGCTACTTTTCATAGGTTTTAAAAGGTCACAAGACATTCTTGAGTGCTGCTTACAATTGGGAGTTCCTAATCTGGGAAACTGCCCTGCTCTTATTCTTGTTGCGTTTGGCATCCCTCGGCTCTGACACCAACAAGAAATACAGTAATATTTCAATTCTGCTTACTGAACAGGTACTTTTGGATTCTTTGATTATTTCTTTGACATTATGACAGATCGATAAAGTAATATCTAAAAATAATAATATAGCAAGGTAAATACAAATTTTCAGTTGTTAACTTGCTGTTTATTTTGTTAAATATCCAGAGGCTGTCTTCTGGTGGTAGCAGATTCCTGAACTGTTCATAAAATATTAGTTACCCAACACGTAAGCTTTAGTTTGTCAGTCTTGAAGAAAAGCATGTTTTAAAACCAAGCACTGCAGGACAAAAATCAAGGTGTGGATACTTTTTGTGGAGGCCTTTTGTTTAGTGCAGGGGTCCTCAACCTTGGCCACTTTAAGACTTGTGGACTTCAACTCCCAGAACTGGCTGAGGAATTCTGGGAATTGAAGTCCACAAGTCTTAAAGTGGCCAAGGTTGAGGACCCTGGTTTAGTGTATCAGTTATAACACCAAGATAAAAGGTTGAGGGTGGGTGGGCTGTAACAAATTTCAGTATCTTCATTTTCAAAAATACCTGTAGAAGCTAAAGCCTGGGCACCGTTTGATGAAAATTGAAGACCAAAATTATTTTATTTAATGAAAAGGTCTTTTAGCAACCTGTATCTCTTTTCCTTCGGTTTGCCTGTAGGATAAGTCTTATGAAACAAATTTCCATAGGATTATTTTTTTTTTAAATTATTGTTTATTAAAAGCTGCATACTTATGTAATTTTTTTTGCTGTTGGTTAGGTTCTTAAAGTATATTTCAACTAAAGCACATATTTACGTTTTATTTGGAAAATCTGTTTTTTAGAACCTGTCATCACCTCCTTTCATACAGGGGAAAAGTAGCCATTGCCTTCTCCCCTTTCCAATTACAGTATATATTTCATGATCATACTGTTATCAAGGCAGATAGTTTGACTTTGTATATGAGTATATACAGTATTTGAGTGTTCTAGATTTTTTAAAAAGCACATTACACCATATTTCAGCTGATGTTTTTACTGGTTATGAAAAGTGATTTGTGTTAATGTTTATGCTAGCTGTGTAGGGAATATAATATTTAAATAACTTTCCTGCAGATAAATTTGTACTTAAAGATGGAAAAGAAACCCAACAAGAAAGAGCAGCTCACACTAGTAAATAACGTCCTTAAACTCTCCACCAAACTCTTGAAGGTAAGAATAAAGTAAAAATTTGCACTTCTTTGCCTGTATTCTTCTGCTATATTTTTTAAAAGATGTTCAATAATCTTTTTATTGTATAAAAGCAATGCTGCTGCATTATAATTCTGTTTCATAACCGCAGGAGTTAGATACACCGTTTAGACTATATGGATTGACAGTGAATCCCTTGATCTATAATATTACACGAGTGGTGATCCTGTCGGCCGTCTCTGGAGTCATAAGTGATTTGCTGGGCTTCAATATCAGAGTAAGTGTTGCCAAGTACCTGTTGAGGATAGCTCAGCTGTCTGTTTCTCTAGTGTTGTTTACATAATGGCTATATTTTGTCTGCTCAAACATAACCAAAACAGTGTAATTGTGAAAATAAAACAATTTATATTCCTGCTTCAGACCCATGTAATTTTCAAAGAGTGGTAACTTTTAGTTCTTAGGTATTTGGGGGGCACATTTGGAAACTGTGAAACAACTGTAAGCACAACCCAAAAGAGTATTGTATGGTTAATTACAAAAGACAAGCATCGTATCAAAGAATCTCAATAAATTTTGGATATGCATCTATAGGCAAACTAACTGTGTACATGATTGTTCTTTGCAAGAAAATATCTACGGTACACTTAGAAGTCTTCAAGGATGCTCTTGGGTCAGTAGGAATCCATGGTAGAAATCCAATTTTTAGGACTTCAATTATTCTTAAAAATACAGTTTAGTCTAGTGGTAAAGACCCCATGCTAGAAAGTAGGAGACCCGTGAGTGCTAGTCCCACCTCAGGCATGAAAGCCAGTTGGGCTACCTTGGGCCATTCTCTCTCAACCGAACCAACTCAGAGTTTGTTGTTGGGAAAACAGAAGGAAGGAGGATTAGGTATGCATGTTGCCTTGAATAATTTACAAAAAAATAAAAATGGGATAAAAATAAATAAATGAGGTAGAGTTACAAAACTACTTGTTTGGAAATTGTTCTGTACAGATGCAGCTTATATATGGACTTTGCTTTCACATGAGTTTAAAATTTATTTTCTGATTTTAATGTTAACTTTGTTCTCTCTCTCTCTCTCTCTTTAGTTATGGAAAATCAAACCGTGAGAGAGAAGATGCTGCAACCCATGTTTTGGGCAGAAATATTCTCTGATGTGCTACACAGGCTTGACAAGGCCATTGAAGGTGCTTTTTCCTCACTTCAATACAAATGCCATATTTTCCATACATTTTCTTAAGAATTTAGAATTAATTTTTCATTGAGGTCATAGCTTGAAGAGATGGTTAAATAAATCTTAATAAATAACAATTCTAATGTGTTCATCTTAGTTGGTTAAACCAGCTGCTCCTATGGAGCAAAGCAATATGAAATGAGATGTCTTGCAACAAGGTTTATTAAATGAATAAAAAAAATAAGCCAGCATTATTCTGCTCTGAAACTGCCTGTTAAACCCATCTGTGACTAAGATGAATATAGCTATTTGGTACCTAATAATTTAATATGGTGTTTGTTTCTGTCAAGCTCACCTATTTTCTGTAAGTTGCAGTTGACCTACTTTTTACATTTCAAAATGCCTCTGGTAGAAAGCCTTTTCTTGAATGGCAGTTGGTCCTGCTTGTTTTGCTGTACTGGGAGAGGAGAATGAAATTTATTCCAACAAAATATGAATACCCTCTTCAGGCATTTTACAGTTCAGCCTTCCATTGCTCAGTAACACATAATAGCAATAACAGAAGATGGCTAAGAGTAGATTTGCCATATATTTAAGAATGCTATTAGAGTTCTCCAATTAGTGATCTGAATTAGCAGTCTATCCATGAAAAAAATAAAAATGTTGGTATGGTATCTATGTTTTATGCAAAGCAATTGGAAACTCGTATAATATTGTTAAATGTTACCAGTTAGCACCACAAAAACTGGGTTGGTTCTGAAGAAATTTTTACTGTAAACTTTTGTTTAAAAGAAGGTTTACATACCTTCCCCAACTGGGTAATTGTTAGAACTATGGATATATAACATTTTCTTATATATATATTCAGTTTTCCATCTCTGCAAATCAATTTATACATACATGTTTTTTCTATCTGTGTTATGTTTCTAAGTTCACAGAATAAAGTATTACTGGACCTGTAAAAGGAACTACCAAAGTTTGGCTGCTATTATTAGCATTTATGCAATAGTTTTTTTCTTTCAAACAATTCACTTATTTTTTTTCTGGAGGGAACACGCCTTTAGAACATTCTATGTTATATATAAAGCTATTATTGGCATTCTTGTAAGGTGCTGAAGGAATCTGTATGATAGTATTTGAAATTAAATGTTAGTAACAAAGACAAATAAAACAGAAGTCAAGAGAGAAGTCAGTGATGGTTTGCTGTGGGTTTTTTCCAGTGAAAAGGATATGCTTGTAAGTATTTATTGCTAGCAGTAGATTCATGCAGAGATGTCTGCCAAAGCAGCATTGCATCAAAAGCTCCACCCCTTTTGTACATGCATGTGATGTCACAAAGATCATAGAATGGCAAACTGTTCTTGCTAAAAGACAAATAACTTTTTGAAGGTCTCAAATCACAATAAGGATGATGTAAAAACCAAAAATACAAATTCATTCTTTTATTTGTGTCAATCTTATCAAGCTCCCAATGTACTTCCAGTTCATGTGATCTAGAATCAAAGTGTTTTAATTTTTTTCTCCCAAAAAAATCATACAATCCATATTTTTCTATTAACAGAGCAATTTCCCTCATCTCCCAGTACACTCTTTACAGCTGTCTCCAAATTATTCCTCCATTTACCCATACTGTGGCCTATCCCTGCTACTTTTTCCCAAATGCCATTCCCAAGTCTTCCCAAGGCAGTTGCAGAGGGGAGTCTCAGAAACTCTTCTAAATTAACTGCTGTCTGTAACCTTAAATTATAAGAGTATCTCCAGGTTCAGAGGGGCCTTTCTGCAAAATGATAAATAGCTGGAGAGCCATGTTCATTTGGAAGTGTCTGAAATTACTCCAGAACTAAAGATACCAGCAGAATACTCAATTAAAAGCTTGGAAAAGAGTCCATTTGTGCAATGGAAACTATACATTGTCTAATGGAATTCTAATTTACAGAGCAACAGGAGAAAAGTTTTCATTAAGAGGGGTAACAAAGAATCAAAGTTATTAATCAGATGTTCTTTTTAATGTATCTATATAAAAAATAATGAGTGATTTACAGATCTTTCTAATCAGAATCTGAGAAGTGAATATATAAAGGTGCTGTACAAAATAAACATTTATATCCAATACAACCATATTTTCTGAACATTCCAAGGCCACATTGCTAAATCATTATTATCAAGTTAAATACAGATACAAAGTTTCTGGAAAAAAGGGCTCACATCAAACAGAAGACAACAAAATAGGTCACATCATTAAATGGATAAACAGTATCTGAATAGTGGGAAAATAAAGTTATTTCAATTTTATTATTTTGATATTTCTGCAGTTTTCATTTAATATTATTTTGTGACAAAATATATAGAACCTTTTTGAAGGTTGCTTCATGATATTTGTCAAGTTAATTTACATAGTTTAACTCAGATATTTAATATTTTCACAGTAATATTCTATATTTGCATATACTTCCTACAGTAACTTTTGAGTTTGTAAATGATAAGAGCACACAATAACACATTAAAAAGCTGTATCAGATGACTTTTTTTTTCAAAAAAGTTGATGTCTTCTACAACTGATTTGTCTTAGTACTTCTTTCCAATAGAAATACTCAGATGTCCAAGTCTAAGGAATAGAGTTTTTAATTCAACTGCATCTGAACTGCAGTTTGAGCTATTATACAAACTATTTTCAAGAAATGGGAATCAACAAACAGTAATGTTATTGAAGAGAATGTTATTGAAGAAGTCTAAAGCTCTATCATATATACCTAAGTAAAATGAGTCTTAGAAATTTTGTCCAGAGCTATTACATATGGATTTTGCACATTGGTAAACTCACATTCTATCATGGTTTATGTGAATGTCATATCTGGTCGTCATATGATGAATAATAGGTAGCCTTCAAGCTATTTTGCTTTCCTGTGGGTCAAAATAGCTTCAATGACTTTAATCTACTGAATCTGTGTTTGCTTTAGGCCTAAACCTTTTCATTAGTCATTCTCATAGTCACTAACAGTTCTTTCTGGAAAGTCCATAGCTTTTTAATAGTTGACTGGCATGCTGATGTATCATCTTTTATTGGTCTGAATGTTTCTGATAAATTGGGCTAATAGGATTGGCACAAGAGGAAAATCATCTGCAAGCAACGCTAGCACTTCCAAAGTGGCAGGCTATATCCTCTTTGGAAACAGTTTGAAATCATGGGGGGGGGGGGATGTAGTTTCACAGAAGTTTTAATCCCTCTCAAAAATCACAGCCCATTTTCAGATTATATGAAATTGCCAAACCCCTAGAGTCACGCATTCATCTATTTCTATTACATCTAGAGCATTCAAAACAAATAAATCAGAGACCGAAGAGAACTGTATATCAGCCATCTGAATCTGAATGCAAAGCAAAAGTTTTCTGAAAACAACATCTCTAAATTCCTCAGCTGCTACGGTGCAAGAAATAGGATGCTTACACTTTTTCTGTTTAAAATAGTGAAATAAGAACACATATTTCACTACTACAAAGGGGAGACTATCAGTATCAGAAGTTGGAGGCAATATCAAACAGGTGTGCACAATATACATGTCTGCTGCTAGTGTGAGGACTATGATACTGATATTTTGTTTAGGCTTCCCCAAAGTATGAAGAAAAGCAAACTTGCCAAACCAATATAGAACAATGACTATAGACATCACTGTAAATAGTTGTTCTAAAATGGCATGTACACAAATAGTAATTTATGATAACTACAAAACTAAAGATAGAGGACAAAAAGGGCTTGAAGAAAGGAGAGAGGAAAAAATAACTTCACAAGAAAAATGAATGTGTATTCTGATAAAAGAAAAATTAATAAAAAAATGGCTCATCTGAATAACATGAGGAACTTGGGAGAGCAATAAAGACTTTAAACATCTTAAATATATACCCACATGTGCACACACTCAAATACAAAGTAATTATTTAAGTTATCGACTGTTAAGATCTGTAAGAATGTATTTTTATCTTTCTTAACTGACCACTGCCTTTCACTCAAATCCATTCAAAGGAAACCAAGTTCATTGTTAGAATGATTTTAAAAAATTAGAAGAGTTCATTGTTCTAGAGGTTGCCACTCCAATGACCTATACGCCTGAAGAACTAATGTGCTTTACCCATAACATTCCTCCCGTTATGATAATCATGCACAAGCAAATGAGAAATTTCATAGAGACATTTTAAATTTGGAGGTACTTTTATATACAAACTTGGAAGCCAGTGTAATAGGCTTCTGTTAATAGGCACAAGGACAATACTTAAGAATTTTACTTTGGTGGGTAAGTTCTGATTTATTTTGCTTGTTGGGATTTAAGATTTTAAAATGTTTGAGCAAGGCAACAAATGTTCAAGTATTTAGCCAGCATTAACCCAAAAAACAACCAACAGTAGGTGGAAATTCATTTGAATAGCAGACAGAAATCTAAGAAACATTTAATTGCACATTTAATTTCTAATGTTAACGTGTTATAACAAGTATCAGGAAATAATTTGATTATGCTCCTGAAATGTTTGCTCTCATAATCTCATTTCATCAAATGTGATTTCCAAACTGCCCAATTCTAAGATTTAATTTGTATCACAGATAAAATATTAAAATCACTATAGAATAAAATAGTAAGCTGTCACATATTTATTGATAAAGGGCTACTATCCTTTTTACAGTTATTTTGCAGATTGAGAAGTTTGGGAAAGAAAGAAAAGACTTGTAAAAAAGGCAACTGAGTGTATGTTAACTTTCTGACTCCCCAGAGTCAAGAAAATCACACCCACCCTGCCTTTCCTTTAGCTGTGAGAACTTAGAAGTATTCCTTATGTAAACATGCAGCATGCCTGAGTAAACACCCATTTTAAAGAAAACCCTTTTCTGTGGCAGTGGAAAATGCAGGAAAAGATTCAATGGGCTACAGTAGATAACTTGGCACAAGAACAAGTAGTGAGTTATGATCCACTAATAGGCATTAAATAATGTTCATTAACATACAATACTATCAGAAAATCTTAGCAGTGCAACATCAGGAGCAGCAGGACACCATCTTCAAAGGAGACAAAAGACAACAGCTTTTGAAGAGTTTCTCATAAGCAATCCAAAAAGGTCCTTCATGCAGCCTAATAAAAGATCAAATCAAATGTACTTTCCATTCTGTCAATCACAGTGTCTAAAAAAAATATGAGTTTTCTGGGGAAAAGTTTATGACTACATTTAAAAACCTGATTAAAATATGTTCTTAAAAAAGTTGGTCATTCAAACCCGTTTGTTAGTCAGACCCATTGCTTTTGTGACTTGACTTGTACTTGGTACTTTCCAAGGTCCAGGAACTATTGTTTTCTTTACCGGAGAACTCTCAGATTTGGAGATTCCATCGTCTTTGGTTTTATCAGATAGCTCCAAGTTATCTGTAAATTTGTTCAGGAAAAGAGGCTCATCAGCTTCAAGTCTAGAGTTTTTATCCACAGAAATTAGTGAATCATCAGGAAGACCTGACTTCTGAAATTGCTTAGAACTTTTCATATTCTCATCTTCCAAGATTTTCTTTCCAGGCTGATTAGTCTTAGAAAGTGAGAGAAACTGCTCTCCTACCTTGGCATACTGTATCTCTGAAGGACATTTTGAGTTCTTTGTAGATAAATTTGGCTTTGTTATTTCGTTTGTGACTCCTAATTTTACCTTTTCAGTTTTTAGCAGCCTACTAGAACTTATATCATTAGCAGCTGTTTTGTTTTGAAAGTCTAGCTTAAGTTTTTCTCTGCTTCTTTCTCTCTTTGGATATTTTTGGGGACTGACAGACTGATCTCTTTTCTCCTTGGCCAAGATTTTCTCTATATCAGCATTCTCAAAGATTCCCAGATTACCACTTTCATTTCTTTTTGGACTCTGTAAGTGGTCTAAGCAATTCTCAGCTAGATGTTTAGTTTCACTTTTCTTAGATGTATTGAATGGAAGTTGATTAGGAGCTCTGGAAGGACTATTGCTCAACTTCTGGGGACTAGCTGATCGGCTTTTACTGGCTGCATTGCCCGATGCTAATTGTGCAGTACTGTGCATCATTTTATTATCCGGAATGAAACTGTGGTCCCAGTTGTTCACTTGCCTTTGTGGACAAACTGTTTTCTTTATCTCCAAATGGTTTTCCATTAAAGTGCTTTTCTTTTCAGGCACAGTATTCTTCAGTTTTTCTAGTTTCTCAGACATCTGACATTTCATTAGAGCTTCTGATTCTGGCAAATAAGATGCTTCAGATGTGAAAGCAGAATGTGATGATGAGGGAAGTGACGTCTGTTCACCATGTGTTACACTTGAGGATACTGGATTAAAATTACCCAGACCACCTACATCAAAATAAAAAATAATGCATAAGAGCAAAACAGTAAAAAGGTATTATCTATATCTAAAACCCTTCCAATTGTAATGATTGAAATACGCAAAAACAACTTATACTATAAAAACCAATATATTTAAGTATGTTATGAGAAAATTTAATTTCCAATGTATAATATAATGTATAATAAAACATATTATGGTAACCTATAATACAGGATAAGTATTCCTTCTAGAAACCTGGTTTCTATGTCTCAATTCTTTCTCCTGCAACAGAAAATCTCTGAAACTACATACACTTTCTTTTAGTCAATTTCAGTTATACTTTTTCTGTATGACAATTAAAACACTATTTTTTTTCTCTTGCAGATAGTTTTATTCTCAGAATATCTATTTTGTTCTTCTTATCTATTAACTCAGTTTTAATTTATTTACCACTGATTTCCATTTTGTAGCACTGTGGATTACAGATCTTTTATTCTAAGAACTGCAATCATGTAGGGCCAATCAAATCCCAAATATAACCAATAGGGCACAAATCCTGACTAAATTAAACAGCTTGGCTATGTAAAGGATGACCACTAGATACTTAGTTCTCTTCTTCATCAATTTTTCATGTTGAGGGAGGGGAGAAATTGCCTCTCATTTATGTACCAGAGTTAAAATTTCATTTTCAGGTTTTCAAAAAATAAGACTGTCAAAAAGGAGACAAAATATAACAATGATGCCGAAGTATGTAGGAACTTTAATCAAAGATACATCAACAATATGTGTGTGCTAGGATGGAAAAAGTGATTGTTATAGCAAGTGGCCTGTGTCATTTCTAGTCCTTGGATAATGTACTAATATGTGGAATTGAGGGTTTCTAAAATTGATTCCTCTATATTACTTGTGGCCTACACTTATCACAACTCATGTCAAATGTAAACTAGCTGAGTGAAAAACTATTATTCAAAACAAATAAAAAGTGGCTAATCACAATACATGCTGATTTACCAAGTTTAAGGAAAGACCAAAGAAAGCCCTGAAAGCTTTAATGCTGCTCAGTTTTCACGTAGGAACACAAGCTGGAAGGAGCCAAACCTGAGGGAGGAAGAGAAAAAGCCCAGGACTATATACCAAAAATCACAGCAAAGAGTAAAAGAAATATATAATTTACAAGCAGAGTGTAAGAATATGAAAGAGATTATCTCAGCTGACTTGGATATTTCCAAATTCAGTATCCCATCAAAAGATTTTAGGATAGCCTACCACAATTCAGGCTTTCTACATCCATTGGACACTACAAGTCCTTGAATTCCCTACCAGTATCGGTATATTGATTAAGAATTTTCACTAGAGATGGTGTCTCTATCTCCAACGCACCTGGAAGACACCAGGTTAACAAAAATCTGATTTGGAGAAATCTTAAGATTAGTATAGGGTGGTTTTGCTCTTTTTAATATATACATTTAAAAAGTCTAATTGGTCAAATAAAGCATACAAAGCAGGGAAAAGAGAGAAGAGACAGTCCATTAGCTTTTTATCTGGTGTAATAAGCAGAGAGAAGACACAATAGAATGTGTTTTCTAGCTATATGTATATGCTTTCCTGCATCAGCAATGGGGAAGCTATCTGACACATAACCTGTATGTTGAGAAGCTCATATTATCCTTTTCCTTAAAATACCAGGTATCTAACACAGCTTTGAATGCTTTTAAAGTGGAAAGATGTAAGCCACTCAGAGTCATTTTGATATAAGATGGGTAGCAAATAAATTCATTAAATAAATAAATTTTAAATGAAGATTTAAAATCAAAGTTCACCTCCTACATATACTTCTGGAATTGAGATAAACTTTTAAGCCCCTTGCTAAGTGAAGTGGGATAGATGGCTTCTGACAGGAGGGCATCTTCAGTGGCAGTATTCCAATTATTGCATCCTTTCCTCAAGTAGCATCTTTATCCCTGTACTATGGTCTTGTAGGCACCCTTACTTTCCTGTGCTCTTACATTCTTATTGTGATCTATACTCATTCAAGATATTTCTGAAATATTCATCAAGCTGGGTGCTGCAATAAATTTACACTGCACAATTTTAATTTTTATTATTGTTGAATTATTTTAGCTGTCAGTGTAAGCTCTCTGGAAAACAGTAGCTACAAGGGGAATTCCAACTTGTAAGTAAATATTTAAATAGGACATTTATAATTTTCTAGAGTCTGAACATCTAGTTATTCAAAATTATCAATAAATACATCTGTACTGTGCTGAATATATCAGCTGTAGCTCATACATTCAATAGTGGGTTCCCACCGTACCATGGTCTGGTATTAATCCAGTCCCTGGTCGCAAAAGGAGAAGAACTTTATTTCCTCCAGACTGAATCAATTCAATGGCTCGAGTATGGGTAATTCCTTGTGTTGGTTCACCATTGATTTCAACAATCTGGTCACCAACCTGAGGAGAAAAGTACCTTCATTAAGTTGTAAAACGTATTTTCCTTGTTAGCATTTGTTTATACTTAAAAATTCTACATTATGTTATATTTAATTGAAACCCAGTTAATAATATTGACATTATCACAAATTTAGAGTAATCCACAACAATACTTATTTTTAATAAAACCTTGATCCCCAGCAAGGACCACTCAGTTACTCTCCAGTTAATTCAAAAAGATTCAAGCTTTATGAATTGTCATAAGGCTACTGAAAGGCGAGAATAGAATAGAATAGAACAGAACAGAACAGAATAGAGCTGGAAGGGACCTTGGAGGTATTCTAGTCCAGCCCCCTGCTCAACCAGGAGAACCTATACCATCTAAGACAAATGACTGTCTAGCATCTTGTTAAAAATCTCCAGTGATGGAGCGCCCACGATTTCTGAAGGCAAGCTGTTCCACTGATTAATTGTCCTCACTGTCAGGAAGTTTCTCCTTAATTCCAGGTCGCTTCTCTCTTTGATTAGTTTCCAACCATTGTTTCTTGTCCTACCCTCTGGTGCTTTAGTGAATAACATGACCCCCTCTTCTTTGTGGCAGCCCCTCAAATACTGGAATACTGCTATCATGTCTCCCCTATTTCTTCTTTTCTTTAGACTAGCTAAACCCAAGTCCTGCCGCCGTTTTTCAAATGTTTTAGTCTCCCGGCCTTTGATCATCTTAGTTGCTCTTCTCTGAACTTTTTCCAAACTCTCAATATCTTTTTTGTAGTATGGTGACCAAAATTAGCTGCAGTATTCCAGGTGTGATCTTACTAGGATTTTATAAAGTGGTACTAATACCTCACGGGATCTTGATTCTATGTCTCTCTTTATACAACCCAGGATTGTATTAGCTTTTTTGGCTGCTGCTGCACATTGTCAAGTGATCGTCCATTGGACTCCGAGGTCCCTCTCACAGTTATTGTTTTTGAGTCAGGTTTCACCTAATCTGTACTTGTACCTTTGATTTTTCCTGCCTAAATGTAAAACTTTGCTTTTCTCCACATTGAAACTCATTTTGTTGGATAGGGCCCATTGTTCAAGTTTGTCAAGATCTTTTTGGATCCTGAGTTGTCTTCTGGGGTGTTGGCTACTCCTGCCAGTTTAGTGTCATCTGCAAATTTGATGAGTTCCCCTTCAATTCCCTCATCTAAGTCATTTATGAAGATATTGAAGAGTGCTGGGCCTAAGACGGAACCTTGTGGTACCCCTCTACTTACTTCTCTCTATGTGGATGTAGGCTATATAGAGTTGAAGTCCACGAGTCATAAAAGAGCCAAGGTTGACTACCCCTGCTATATAGGCTAGCTATGACCTAGTTTATGAGGTTGGAGATTACTTAGAGATTGTATAAATGGCAATCTATATACTTACAAAAACTAATGTGAAAGCCTGGGTAACATTCCAGATGGCTAGAATAAATACATAATAGAAGGAAATATGCACACTTTTTCCCATTTATTATGGTAATCAGAGAATTTGGGAAGTATTCGGAAAAGATGGGATTCTAGAAAGAGAAAAAAAACTTTGGAAAGCAGCAGTGGGGAGATGATTGTATCCAACTGAAATATGAATTAGTGGGGTCTAAAAGGGTAGTTAAATCTCAGCTCCTGATACTTATTCTCAGGCTCTATTTTCTCTCTGTAAAACATTATCCACTATGTGTGAAACAAGAATTAAATGTTAAAATGTGAAACTAAGCTTCTACTGCTCAGCTCTACAGCTCAGCGGAGAAAAAGTGAAAAATCAGACTTGCAGTACTTCTAACTATTGAGTTTACAAACTTGAAAAGTAATCCTCAGTCTGGGAACTATCACATTAAATACTATTTATTTTCCTATCAGTAATTTCTATTTCTTTAGCTAAGGATGCTTAAGTGATTGCAAACTTAACATGAAGGTTCTGATGCTGATATGCTCTTACAAAACAAGAAAAAGAACATGTTAGCACTCATGTTTGATGTATTATGGTTCTTGTCTATACAGTGGTTTCAACTGCTTTGAAACTCATCAAATTTGATAATCAACGCATTTTGATAACAAAAATTTTGTATCAAACTAGAATTTGTCACTGTCAACTGCCTTATGCCTCACTACATTATTCCTTATGGGAAAAACCTGTTTGATACTCATGGCTTTTGGTACTCATCGTACCTCTTGGAACTAATTAACAATGAATACTGAAGTACCACTGCACTATGTCTGATCATTATATGAACCCCAAAAAATGTGAATACCACATGGGCCAAGAAAATACGAACCACATTCCTAAGAAAGATGACTAACCAATTATTTGCAATGGCATTAGCAGATCTAAGATCTGTACACAGGAGCATCTAGTTTAGCTACTGCAATGAATTCTACGAGAAAGAAAAGAGTTTCCAGAAAACAGGATTTCTGCTTAATGCACTACTTTTGTTCCAATGTGGGGGTACCCTCGATTAAGCATGTACACTCTTAAATACTCTTATTATATGGACTGAACATAAGAGATCTGGACAAAACTCCAATGTAATCCTTGAATTTGGTTACTGCCACACTTTTCCTTCCATATTAGAGCAGATGTTTTAAAATGGTGACTATGTTCCAGTGAATTTGCATAATTTGCATTTTGTTAGATAGTATCTTTTCACAAAAAATATAATTGAATTTTCATGAGCAGAGTTAGTTCATTTAAATATTTCTGTCTCAAGAATTTCCTCCACCTATTTCCAAAGCTGGGTTACAGTAAACATGAGTATACGTACAAAAGTTTGTGTGAAAATAACTATAAATTCACATTTAATGATAATGGCAGATAATAGTATCAATACTTATATATGGAAATATATTTTAAAATATCAAATTAATATTAAATTAGCTTTTAAAAACAATAGGCGACCTATCCAGCTAGGGCTAATACATACTTACATGAATTCTCCCATCTTTAATGGCAGACCCTTCCTCAGCAAGTCGAAGAATAAATAGCCCCATGTTATATTCTTTTCCTCCACGAAGGCTAAATCCAAAGCCTCGAGGACCTCTCTCCAGTTCTACTGGATAACATCCAGGATTCTGTGCAAATAAAAGATTATGCAATTTAAAATTATATTGGGAAAGACTTTCAACTCTTTTTTAGAAAAAAAAAAACAATTTCTGAAATTCAAAGAAATTTTATTCAATTATTAATGTAATGATATTTGCTATGTTTGACATTTTAATAATACCTGTACTAATTCCACATGTAAATTCTACTTTCCCTGTAGCAATAGCAATAGCACTTAAGACTTATATACCGCTTCACAGTGCTTTACAGCCCTCTCTAAGCAGTTTACAATACAAGAGTCAGCCTATTGCTCCCAACAATCTGGGTCCTTATTTTACCAACCTCAGAAGGATGGAAAGCTGAGTCAATCTTGGTCAGAATCAAACTCCTGGCAGTGAACACAGTTAGCCTGCAATACTGCATTCTAACCACTGCGCCAGCATGACTCTGTAAATTTTAGAAAGCTATCACTTGCTGTTCCAAAAGGTTATAAATCTAGCCTTTTATGCTTTTCCATAACTGAAGCATGAGCCAAAAATTCAGTTCAAAAATCCTGGCTAATGTCTTTGATAACATCTTATTCCTTTTTTTTCTTTGTTACACACAGACATTTAGAATACTGATAATTAGTGGGAGATAATGGCACTCATTTTTTCCACATTAAAATTTCAATACATAACAAAATGAAAATGGGGACATAATGTTAGGTATAAAATAAAGTGACGTAAGCATCTAGACTGATTTGTAGTGATCAAATTCCATGGGACCCATCTACCAAGGTATCAATTTTTCTCATTAAAATCATTAACAGAATTTCAGGATTATCTTGAGGCATGTTCTCTATATATTTTGCTGATATCCTTTTAAATTTCCAATATATACCTTATTAGAAATACTAACAAAATAGAATCCCATCTTCAAGAACTAATTCACCATAGGGGTGAAGGCTTTTGCCTCCCAAGGACACTATAACTTATAGTGCTGAAAGTGTATTCTCCCAGAAAAATCACTCATCATAGGCAGGTCACAGATTAGGGGTAAGCTAAATATGATTAATTGAAGAAGGAAATGGTAAATTATTCAAATATTCTGCCAAGAAAAACAGATATTCATAAGCAGGACAATGTTGGAAGATGACCCCCTTGGAAGGTATCTAGTAAACTAAAAAGCATATCAGATGCTGTTCTGACCAGGAGCAAAAAGTGTGATGCTACAAAATAATTTAACTAAAGCAATCTTTAGTTTCAAACATGGAAATGCCAAGATTAAATATTGACATTCTGAGAATCAATGACTTGAAATGGAATGAGTGACTTCATATTAGAAGAGCATCAGATCTTCTATAGTGGACAAGAAAATCATAGAAGAAATAGAGTAGACATTATGATTAACAAAAGGAGTCAGTACACACACACACACACACAAACACACATGGCTGATCTCTCAATTCTGGCAAAATCATATTTACCAGAAGAACTGAAAAAGTCAAAAGCAACTGAATGACTAAATAATAATGTCCTAAATTCAGTCTTTCATGCTAGATGCGCAAAGATATTTAATGAACCTTCCTACAATATCGGGAATATTCCACCGAGTATCCAATGTGCAAGTGATTAACATAACGTCCTTCCTATCTATTATTAGCAGAAGAGTTCAGCTCCCATATAACACAAAAAAGTTTAATAGCTATATTTATATACCTGAGAATGTGTGCTCCCTCCAAAAGACCCAACAACTTCAGTTAATGAGAAGTGCTTGTAATTGTTGCATTGTTCTTTTCCACTATCAGCTTCTGTAGCACCCCTGAAGTATAAGGAAGCATATGGATCATTACAAGGGCCTCTGTTGAGTTCTCCCTAAAGGAAGATTAGAATGAATTCCTAAAGGAATTTACCAAATATAAGCCAGGTTCCAAAGTTCAGCCATAAAAACATATTCTCCATATACAAAATTAAACGGGCCGTAGATATTCTTGTGCAGATTTCATTTCTTGTATTTCCTATTCAAATACTTTGAATTAACTTTGAACTCTAATTCATAACACTAAAGAATAAATTTTGAAATTGAAAGGACTGGCCAGAATGCACCACAATTTCCTAAGAGGAAATACTGATTTCCCATTAGTCCATTTCCTATCAGAGTACAAACTATATTTTGAATGAAACTATTAATACTAGGATTAAAAAAGAAATGTGCCACCAATTATCTTTCAGTTTAAAATGCCATAGTTTACTAAAACAATCTGCAATGCCCTGAAGTAATTCTTATGTATTTGTAATGTATGAATTCTGTGAATGTTTATCATTTTCTCTCAAAAATGAATGTCCAACGTTTGTGAAATTTGCACAAAGCTATGATAAATTTCCATTATTTTTAATGGACATATTAAAACACCTGCATTTTATAAATATTTCAATACCAAAAAGAATAAATTTAGGGAAAGTTGTACACAATAGATGCATTATTTCCAACTTCAAAAAATTGCAGAATTTTTTTGATAAAACTGAATATTATATCAATAACTATCACTAATCTGGGCCATATTAAGATTGAATGAAGTATCTAATCAAGTAATTTTTTCTGAGATTATTAGAGCTACATGTCAGAAGGAAGATATTCATTTAAAACTTCCATTTTTACACCATGAATAATTATAACTTCTCACAGAAGCTCTTTAATCTTTTATCAGTTTTATTTTGTTCATTTTCCTCTTCCAGAGGATTTTTTCTCTTTGGCATTCATTTAAATAAATCTGCAGTTTGAAGTCTCTGATCCATTACTTATTACTACTGGCTTGAAATAAAAACAATCTTGTGGTATATTAATGATAAATTTATTACTGCAAAAGCTTTTGTAGTTTGCTTCATCAGATACATCATGACAAGGAAATTAATAGAGAAATGCCAAAAGAGGATAAATGCAGACTATTGTTTTTAAAAAATATACATACACATCAGGTAAGAAAAACATCATAGAAATATTTTTCTTCGCAATATGAGGGAAAAGTTCTACTGCATTCTAACTAGAAAATTAGAAAATCCGAACAACTGAAAAGTTCTGTTCCCCTGCTGTCTTTGCAAAAAAGAAGTTAGGTATATAGTTTAATTTCCATATTTATTTGTGGTCTAAAAATGAAGTTTGTACCTGTCAGTAGACACAGAAGAAGCTGGAACTGGTCCAAGAACTCGATGCTGCACAATTGGACTTTGTCTGGCGGAGTTTGCTCCTGATGGGGGACCACGATGCTCTAATGAAGACACGAGTAGCTGATTAGATACACCAGGATATATTAGCAGTACTAAAATATTGCCAAGGGCATTATTGACTTTCATTGTTTTATGTGTTATCAAATAATGTTGCCAGTCCTTGAAAAGGCCATTTACCAGTATTGAAATGCATATTAAGAAACTGATTTATTAAGCTATGTGGCAAATGCTCTGGCAGGCAAGCAGTTGGCGGAAGCGAAATTGGAGCAAGCAACGAAGACTGCTCTCCTGACCACCTGACCAAAAAGGCAACTCTATCTGGGCTTGGTCACAGCAATGGCAGCTGATGCCGAAGGCACGGTTGGGGACCCGCTCTGGGCTCCGCCCGGAGGCCTTAGGTGGCCAGTCAAAGTGCACCAGATGGCCCAATGAAGGGCGAAGAGGGCCTGAATACAGGCCAGGCAAGGAAAGATGAGGATCAATAGAAGCTTGATTAATTTAGTGTATAATATTACGAAACAAAACTTCCCTCAAAAATCACTCAGGCCTTTGTGACTATAAGGCTCTGGCCTGATGAGGTCTAAATTTTATTTTATTTTATTTTATTTTATTTTATTTTATTTTATTTTTATTTATTTATTTATTTATTTATTTATTTATTTATTATTTTATTTTACTTTATTTTATTTATTATTTTATTTTATTTTATTTTATTATTTTATTTTATTATTTTATTTTATTTTATTATTTTATTTTATTTTATTATTTTATTTATTTTATTTTTTTGGCATTCAAAATGGCGGCCGTCAGAATTTGGGGTGGAAATTAGAGACTCTAGGCTGTGTGACCTGACTAGGGACCAAAGACCCAGAAGGTAGAAACACTTAAATCACGGAGGAAGATTAAACAGCCTAGGTATGCCAGGAAAAGTTTTTACTCTTCGTTGTTTTAGCGAAAACAAAATGGCAGCCACAACTTGCTCTGCCGTCAAAAACAACTACTGTGATCACACAGGGGAAGTTTCCCCAACGTTGGGAAGGTCCTGGCAGAAGCTAGTGCACTGGCTGTGGGAAAATGCTCCAATTTGTCTCCGATCATGGGAAAGGAAAAAACGGAGCCTTGGGAGTCGTTTTAAATTTTGCTGCCTCAAACGGCAGCCAAAATAGTGGCCGCAGCGTCCCAAACGACTCCGGAGGTCTGGGAAGTAAAATAGAATCAATCTGAGGTGGGAACGCTGTTCCCTGGGTCCTAAGAGGGGAGGTGACAATCTCACCTAAGGCAGTTTGTGAGCTGCTCACAAAAAAACAAAAATTCCTTTCCCCCAGAGCCCTGAGGAAAACGGAAGGAATCAAAGGCAATTGTCTTCCCCCCCCCCACATCCTGCAGTTCAAAAGCCTCCGATTTAAGGCAGCGCTGAGCCCAGAGCCGCAGGGAACTGTAGGAAATGATTCCCAGACTGTGAGGATTATTAAATTATATTGAGGGATATTACTATTAAAGGGAGAATTCACCAATGGTTTACTACCTGCTAATCTGCTGAGAGAGCCAACCCTGACGTGTCTTCAAGAGCTTGAGACCAAGTCAAGACTGGATCTCCTAGCAAGAGGGGGCGTGTCAAGTTTGGCTACTTGGTCTCAAGAGCAGGCAGACAGTGAAAACCCATTGGTGGATTCTCCATCTCCTGTACTGGAGAAAAGGCCATTTACCAGTATTGAAATGCATATTAAGAAACTGATTTATTAAGCTATGTGTGTAAATTTTTGATTATAATAATAACATAATACAAACTAAACTTAAAGAAAGGGATGGGAACAGAATGGAATAAAAAGTACAAGAAAAAAGGGAAGAAAGATAAGAATATATATAATAATAAAAAGTGATCAAGTAAACTAATTTTACATTCCTTCCTTTTACTTCAAAAAATCTTAATCTTTAGTTCATTAAAAATTGTCATAGGATTTTATTTTTCTTAATTTATTCTTTATCCCATTGTACAGAGTTCTTCAAGGTTTTAACAAGCCTCTTCTATGAATCCAATAGGAAAAATATATCCTCTCTTGGGTGTATCATTGTATTTCCCTTTTAAATTTTAAAACCTCAGCCAGTTTTTTTTTTGTGTGTGGTTCCAATGAAAATAATTTTCTAAATCATTCTCCTGGCTCATCAGTTGTAAGTCCACTTTCGATACTATTTCTATCTTGTTAGATAAAATTTGTTCTACATTTGACATTTCTTCAATAACAACTTTTTGACAGAAGCAGACAACATTACTGACATTGCCAATATTATGGCTACTGATTTCTGACTCCATTCTTCAAAAATCCTCTTCAGTATTTTCATTGTTATACTCTACTTTCATGTTGGAAGCCCCAGAGCACTTCTGTGGTTAACGGATCAGCCTGTGACATCACTGTTGCCCAGGGGACGCCCAATTGGGGGTTCCTTTCATGTCCCCGTTAAGTTGCCCACCGAAAAGGTATCCATTTATCTATTTACGGTCACCTGATTTTGAGCAGCTGGGTTGACAGGAGCAGGAGTATGATAGGTGGCACATCCTATGGCAGCAATTGCATCTCAAATGCGAGCCTCCCAATCATCAGCCCAGCATCCTAACCTTGTGAGCCATGTTATAATGTTTTGCAACATTTTATAGACTTTCTTCCACTTGAATACTTTAGTTCCTTCTAGTGTCCAGTTTTTGAAATAATGAAATTGCTTACCAAAACAGACTCTATTTTCCACAATAATCTGTTTGTTCTTGATAATTAATTCCAAAATCTTATTATAAACATTTCAGTCTAATCTTGCCAACTCCCAGCATAACATGGAAAACTGCTATCCTGAGGTCTCCTCATGAGAAACAGCTGCCTATAACACATGTGGGCAATCTCCCATCCTCTTCTTAACTGGAGAGGTTCAAGAAACTGGTCTACTCACTGCTTCCTTAGTCTTTACCATGGTCATATACTCCACTTTAACAGACATATATTCAATTCCCCCGAACCTCCATGCCTATCAAGCTCCGGGCACAAACTATTCACTCTTACATGCAGATGTACACACATGTATTCTCCTATTTCCTTCCAGAAGTAGCAGCAAAAAAGCACACAAACAAGAAGGAGATGTATATTTTTGGAATATATTGCTGCATTGGAAAGTGGAAAAAAAAAAGAAATGAGAGAACAAAATTGGATGGCAATGAGAGCTAATTTGGTGTGGTGGTTAAGGCAACAGGCTAGAAACAAGAGGCTGGAAATTCTAATCCTGCTTTAGGCATAAAGCCAGTTAGGAAAGTTTGGGCCAGTCACTCTCTTTCAGTCCTAGGAAGAAGGCAACAGCAAACCACTTTTGAAAATCCTGTGAAGAAAACTGCAGGGACTAGTCTAGGTAGTCAACAGGAATGAAGACTGACTTCACAGCAGAGCAGAGCAGAGCAGAGCACAGTATGATAGATAGATAGACAAAACAGATATGTATTACAAAAATATTACATTTATTTGGCAAATAACACCTTCCAAGCAATGGATAATTATAAAATTAATATTTAAAGGCATTCATCTATCCTGCTCTATGGGAGAGTTGGTCTCTGACAGAAGGCTACCTGAAAAGACTAGAAGCATTTGAAATGTGGATTTACAGGCAGCTGTTACGTATAAGCTGCGTTGACAAGATCAGAAATGAGGAAGTGATAAGCCGCCTGGGAAAGCCAAGGGAAATCATCAAAACAATTAAAAAACGAAAATTAGAATATTTCGGACATGTGATGCGACACCCAGAAAAATACGGCATACTCCATTTAATCCTCCAGGGAAAGACTGAAGGCAAACGAGGTCCAGGCAGAAGAAGAACATCATGGCTTCAAAATCTAAGGGATTGGTTTGGACAAAACTCAGCAGCACTTTTTCGTGTGGCTGCTGATAAAAACATGATCGCCAACATGATCGCCAACGTCCGATAACGGATATGGCACAAGAAGAAGAAGATTCATCAGCAGAGTTTTCTGCAGTCATCACCTCTTACCTGGTCACTTCCTTTAAACAGTTTCTACTACCTTATCAGCCAATGTAAATAAAAACCTCTCAATTCACCAGCAATTTAAACACATCCTTATTTAACTATCTGATAAATAGGGCAACTCACAGAAAGTCATTATCTGAATTACAATATATCTATTGAATCAGATTCTATTTTGTAATCAGTTTTATTTCACAATATTGTCTGCCTTTTGCCTTTCACAGTGATACTTCAGAAAACAGACATTTGGGTAAACTTCTAAGGTTCTGCAACTTGGTACTAATAAGAAATGAAATATTATGTGGCAGTACTTCAAACCCAGAGGCAAATAAACCAGAATATTCACTTTTCATCTTTTTTAGTTTTAGCAATTACTTTCAGTTAAAAAAATAAAATAAAAAGATTATAAAGTTAAAATCTTTAAATTACTTGTATAAAAAATGTCCAAGCTTACCAAGTAATAAATAAATGATTTAATATTCTATTTTACAGAATGCAACATTGTAAAATGCATGTTTTAAATATGAAACTGGAAAATGAATTTTTGGTATAATTATTATTCAGAACGATAGAAACCATCCTCCTGGCAAAATAATCAGAGCAAACTTCATTATACAACTGACAGTAGTCAGTTGAAAAGCAGTCTTTCTTTAAAAAAACCCAAACCCCTAAATTTGAAAACTAAATTTGAAAATAAACTGTTTTTACATATTTATACTGATTATGTGTGCAGGCAACAATTTTTGTCAGTGTAGGATGCTAAAAGAAACAGATCAAGGCAGTAGCAAATCCCCTCTTACCAAATACCGATAACCGGAGGATGGGAGAAATGAAAAGCATACATGCTCCTTGAAGCTACTATTTATATCTAACAGTATTTTCTGACTAAAAAGAGAAAATTGGATAATTATTCGGGATAGATGTAGTTGAGGAAAAGAGAGTGGCACTGTTTAGTTTCACACTCATTAATGCTTGTCTCTTTATAGAAGACAAGAATTTCTGATGAGAGATTATTTACATTCCAAATATAAAAACAAAAGGCTCCCTATAATTATCTCTCTTCTAATTACATGATGATGATAAAACTTAACAGAGGATCTGCAATGGATCTGCAATGAAAATATTTTATATGATAAATTACAACAACTTTGGTAGCCAGACCCCATACTTTTAAGACTTTGTAAGTTAGCATCCACTATCTCAAACTGTCCCTGAAAAGGACTAATTGGGGGAATCAACCATTGAAATATAGCCTTTGTAGTTTTCCTGGTCAAGTAATTTAAGAGACTTCTAAATTGACATTTCCAAGACCTTTTTAGAAGCAGCCATTGTATAATGCCTAAAGATGAATAATTAGTGCAAGCTAATTAACATATCAATGTTGAAATGAATTTACTAAGAAATGGTACTGAATTATAGTTTACTAGTCTGTATGTGTAGTTTATTAGTGGCCTCAGACTATTATTTAACATCTCTACATTGTACCTGATGAACTAAGACAACTGTCAGTTACGGTTTCTTTCTAATTTTTTTCAAATAATTTCACTCGTTTCTTACACATCTTCAACATCATGTGGGAATAATACAGAATTTTGCAGGACTCCAAAAATACAATAGGACCAAGCAGAAATCCTTAAATATCTATCTGATTGCCTAGCTGGGAATGAGCCATTAGAGTACAGTACCCTCAACCTTTTTTTCAAGTATAAATTTTTATTATTTTCATCATAAAAAAAACATCACAGGTATATCACAATGCTATAAAAAAGCCCCAACCCCCACCCCCCACCCCGGACTTCCCAAACCTAATCCCAGGATACTATTCAAATAAAAGTAAACTAATATTAATATCCCTAACTCCACAAGTACCCTCAACCTTCAACCTAGCTAACATATGCAAAAATATTTTTACAACTAATGTTATTGAAAAATACTGACATTGCCACCATGTGGAAGACATGCAATTTCAGTGAGCAGCAACGTAACAGTAATGACCATTCTTACCTTCTTCAGCAATAACAGTGAGTATGACAGTATTCCCTGCATCTTTGATCAGCTGCACAATATTTTCATGTGACAAGTCGATGATTGATTGTCCATTCACTGCAGAAATTCTATCTCCTACTTTCAGTCTTCCACAATGATCAGCTGGACTGCCATCAATAACACGTCCAATCTTATGAGGAATCACTAGGAAATGAACAAAGTAATATTCTGTATCACACATTACCAGAAGCTTTATTTTATTATAATTTATGCAAGTCACAGCACAATTGCATAGGAATGTCACCACATTCATAACTTGATATTAATATTTATAGTCTGATTTATCTGTATTTAAAATTATTTTGGTTTTACACTGGCTAAATTATTTCTCAACAACTTCTAGAATGATGGTCTTGTAAAGATGATGAAACTACTATAACAGAATTTTAACTCTTTCCTACAGTTATAAAAAACCTGGATTTCCTTGGGAAAAAGAAGAGCATTATTTTAAATTAAATCTGTACAATGATTTAATTTAAATTAATTAAATTACAATTGAGGAGGGAGGGGGCAAACTTCACAATCTTTAGAACCTAATTCCAAGCAAAAATCAATAGATAATCAATCATAAAAGGAGGCAGGGAGTAAAGAGAAAGAAGAAAAACTCAGATGCAAAGTAAGAGATATAGGAAGCATACTCAGGGTCAGCCACAAAGAATTAAAATGCCTATACACTAATGCTCAAAGTTTAGGGAACAAACAGGATGAACTTTAAATACTAGTAGTACATGAGGCCAAGTATGTATAGTTGCCATTACAGAAACTTGGTGGGATAAAACTCACTACTGGAATGTACTGATAAAAGGATTCAAACTATTCAAAAGAAACTGATCTAACAAAAGAAGACGTGAAGTTGCATTATATATTAGAGATCACTTCCTCTCTACAGAGATGCACACTAGAAAGGATGAAAGCTTTCTAGAATGCATATTGGTCAACATACAAGGAAAAAAGAATGGCATTGCCATAGGTGTATACTGCAGGCCATCCAACCAAGCAGAAGAAATAGATGAACTTTTTGTTAATCAGTTAACCAATGTATGTAGGAAACACACTACAATATTCATGGGGGACTTTTACCCTGACATGAACTGGGACACAAACTCTGTAACAAGTGGGAGATCAAACAGATTCCTGACCCACCTAGCTGACAACCTCATCACCCAAAAGGTAGAGAAGGCAACTAGAGGGGCAGCTATATGGGACTTTATTCTTACCAACAGCAAAAAAGTGATAAGAGGAAATTGAAGTTGCAGGAACTTTAGGGGAGAGTGACCATATCATATTCGAATTCAATATAAAACAGATACAAGCATCAGAACATAATCAAACCAATGTCTTAGACTTTAAAAGAGCTGATTTTAACAGAGAGAGCTTGGGAAGGTTTCCATGGATGAAAATCTTAAAGGGAAATCAACTCAAGAAGCTTGGGAAACTCTGAAAAATACAATTATAAAAAAAGAAAAACAAGAAAACCAACTGAGAAAAAAAGGGACAAGTACAAAAAAAATGGAAAGAGGGACACATAACTAAGGCAGAATAGAAACAAATAGACCGAATAAATGTCAAAAACAATTTTAAAAGTTTCTTTCAACACATACAAAACAAGAAAAATGTCAAAGAAACAACTGATCCACTAATGGGAGAAGATGGCAAAGAAGTAACAGGTAATAGAGAGAAAGCAGAACTGCTTAATTCATACTTTGCATCTGTCTTCATGTAGAAACAAAACAATACTCAACTTACCAAAAACAGAACTATAAATGACTATGAATGCAAATTAAAACATGCAAAAATAAGATAAGAGAACACTTGTCAGCTCTAGATGGATTCAAATCACTGGGTCCTGACGGACTACATCCCAGAGTTCTGAAGGATCTGGCAGTCGTGATTTCAGAACCATTTAAACAAATCTTTCAAAATTCTTGGAGCAACGGAGAACTACCTGAGGACTGGAAAAGAGCTTATGTAGTTCCCACCTTCAAAAAGGGGGTGGGGGGAACAGATCCAGGAAATTACAGATCAGTCAGTCTGATATCAATACCTAGGAAGATCTTGCAAAAGATAATCAACCAACAAATCTGTGAACACCTACAAGCAAAAAAGTTATAACCAGTAGCCAAAATGGGTTTGTTAAAAACAGATCAGGCCAAACAAATCTTATTTCATTCTTTGACAAAGTGACTAAATTAGTGGATCCGTGAAATGTTGTGGACATAATATACAGTAGTTGGATTTCAGTAAAGCATTTGATAAAGTAGACCACAACCTACTTCTTGGCAAGCTAGAAAAATGTAGGATAGGTAGCACCATCACCAGATGGGTCTGTAACTGGTTGACAAATCATACTCAATGTGCAGTCCTCAATGGAACTACATCTACATGGAGGGAAGTAAACAGTGGGGTACGCCAAGGTTCTGTTCTAGGCCCAATACTCTTCAATATCTTTATAAACAATCTAGATGAGGGAATAGAAGGGGAACTCATCAAATTTGCAGATGACACTAAGCTGGCAGCAATAGACAACACACCAAAAGACAAGCTCAAGATCCAAAAAGATCTTGACAGACTTGAACACTGGGCCCTAACTAACAAAATGAAATTCAATAGTTAAAAGTAAGGTTTTACACTTAGGCAAGAAAAACCAACAGTATAAGTATAGGCTAGGTGAAACTTGGGTTAATGCCACTAATTGTGAGAGGGATTTTGATTAGGGGGCTGGAGGTTAAAACATACGAAGAATGGTTACAGTAATTGGGTATGTCTAGCCTAATGAAAAGAAGGATTAGAGGAGGCATGGTAGCAGTGTTCCAATATTTGGGGAGGTCCTAGAAAGATGAGGGGGGGTCAAACTATTTTCCAAAATACCAAAAGGCAAGATGAAAAAGAATGGATGGAAACTAACCAAGAGAAGGAACCTAGAACTAAGGAGACGTTTCCTAATAGTGAGAGCAGTCAACCAATGGAACAACTTGCCTTCAGAAGTTGTGGATGTTGCCTCACTGGAGGCTTTCAAAAAGAGACTGGACAATCATTTATCTGAAATGGTATAGGGTCTCCTGCTCGAGCAGGGGATTGGACTAGAAGACCTCCAAGGCCCTTCCCAACACTATTATTTTATGTTCTATGTTCAGTATTGCAGATATGCAGAGACTCTGACAAAAAATCAGGGGAATGTTGTAATACACACCTACTCCATAGAAAAAGCTCCAACATATTTGAATATTTTTATAATAGAGTCATCTCTGCCAAATGGGCAGCATACAAGTTTAATAAATAAAAAGAATATTTAAATAAAAAGACTAATAAGAAAAAAGTATTATCATAACATCTGAATACTAACATAGCCCTATAAGATTAATGTCTTCATGGAGATAAATGATGAAAAAACAATTTAGTGACCAAAGTTACAACGGCCCTGAAAAAAGTGACTTATGGCCATTTTTCACACTTACAATCATTGTGGCATCTCAATGATCATGTGATCAAAATTCAGATATGTGGCAACTGATTCATATTTATGATGGTTGCAGTGTCCTGGGGTCATGGGACTACCTTTTGTGACCTTCTGACAAGCAAAGTCAATGGGGAAGTCAGATTTACTTAACAACTCTGTTATTAACTTAACAACTGCAGTGATTCATTTAACAAATGTGTCAAGAAAGGTCCTAAAATGGGGCAAAATTCACTTAACAAATGTCTCACTTAGAAACAGAAATTTTGGGCTTAACTGTGCTCAAAAGTCAAGGATTACCTATACTTTCAACTGAGCTAGCCACATAATCATTAATTTTGAATAGCTTCCACTAACTTTCAGTGTATTTCCAAGATGATTTCAAGTGTTACTGTCTGTACTTAACACTATAATTATAATTAACAAAAATAACTTTGGCTGTAGACTTGTCAGACTTGAATAATGTTAGATGCTACTTGAAGAGTTGCTAAGTAGTCTAGTAGCACTTTAAGTGTCAACTTTTTCATTTTATTTCAATGTAATAACATCAAGCCTCTACACATCCTTGTTCATATAGAATTAACAGTTCTAAGACTGTGCATATCAACAATTGGTTGCTTTTTGTTATGCATCCAGCACCATTAATGACCTTCTTTAAAGACTAAAACTATAAAGTTTTAATACAAATTATGTCTATATACTTAAAGATAAAGAATATGTTAGAGAAACATAACTAGTTGTTCCCATATATTATTATAATGTATGGCTACAAATATGATATAATTTAATTTTACAAATATTTACTGTTGAAGAAAAATGTTTAAATATTGGGTAAATAGTGTCTAGTTAAATTATGCCAGGCTGTCTGAAGAATATTTATCTGGATTTTTAAATATAAGTTAGAAATTCAAAGATTGTCCTTGCCAACAAATATTGCAGACTTTGGGGTGAAATGTATTAAATTATTCAATTATTTTCCCAACATTTATATTTACAAAGCCTTGGAGGTCCATAGTAGAGGAAGGCTTGATTCTGCATGAATACTTGCAGCTGCTTATCTCCCTTTATAACTCTGCATACAAGACAATGCACTTGTAGATAGGTCCTACTTTGATTTCATTCCCAGGATACTAAGTACTAACTAATACTTATGAAAGCTGTTTTTACAAATACTGTTAACTTATTGTGTGGCATGTTTCATGTAAAAAATTCACCAAGAATCATCTCAGTTTATATGCTACCTGAAAGCATAAACTGCTGAGAAACGGCTATTTTTCTCAATCATGTGTACTTCATACAGTAGGAAGAAAGATGAACTAGAAACTGCAAACCAAATAATATTCTAGCTTTTATCTTCATCTTTTTTTCTTTTAGTTTAACAAATCTCATTTGTAACTATAAATCCAAAACCGATCTAGTATTATAGAATTCAAAATTAGAATTGATTAGAAAACATGAAAAAGTATTTCTGCTGAAAAGAGATGCTAGTGTACTAAAGTAAATGATGACTTTAAAATGTTTCACAAAGACTATGTATATTTTCATTCTTATGAACGTGGCATAAATATCATCAATTAAATACTATTACATTTGTTATTTTTAGATGAAATCTAATACAGAATTCCTTTTCTTTAAGAGCAATGCAATATCTCACACTGGTTAGTCAGGCCAAGCTGTCTGAGAAACATTTATCTAGGTCTTTAAAAAGGATTAAACTGTGTTTTACATTATTCACAAGATTACATAGGAAAAGCTGGGTTAGTTATTAACAATAATTTCCTGTCTAAAGCATTCTGAACATGAATTTTCAATACATGGAACAGTAGTTCTGGGCACCAAGACCTATGTATGTACTAGAAGGAACTATTACAAAGAAACATTGGGAAATTAGCAGAGTGACTAAGGACAGACAAAGAAAGAAAAGTGCTAGAGCAGTGGTTCTCAACCTTTTAATGCCGCGACCCCAACCGGTCGTAAGTCGAGGACTAAACCAGTCGTAAGTCGAGGACTAAACCGGTCGTAAGTCGAGGACTAAACCGGTCGTAAGTCGAGGACTACCCAACCGGTCGTAAGTGGAGGACTTTCCCTGCCCGGGAGCGCCACGCATGTGTGGTTCCGCCCCCTGCGCCGGCCGAGGCGTAGCTGGCAAGCGGCAGAGACGGAGCAGGCCGACCACCAGCTGGCCCAGCCCAAGGGACGTAAGGCACCCGCCGGAAAAGGGGAAAAAATGGCGGACAAAAAAATGGCGGACAAAAAAAATGGCGGACAGCCTTGCTTGGCGACCCCCGTGAAATGGTCGATCGACCCCAAATGGGGTCCCGACCCACAGGTTGAGAACCACTGTGCTAGAGAGATTTTAGAGGGGATTGGTGAGCTGGTTGAATATGATTTGCTTAAAACAAAGGACACACTGACAATGGTAACTCAGAGTTATATGAGGAAGGAAAGCACAAAGGAGGTTAGAAAGAGGTAAGAGTGACGTAATCCTAATCATTCCATAAGACACTTCTGGTTATTGTTTTTTTAATCTGAAACCTGAAATAAATTGTCTGAGCTACTTAGAGCCATGTATGTAAGATGGGCAACTATATAAATTGAATAGAGGGAGGAAGGAAGGAAGGAAGGAAGGAAGGAAGGAAGGAAGGAAGGAAGGAAGGAAGGAAGGAAGGAAGGAAGGAAGGAAGGAAGGAAGGAATATCTAGATTTTGACTCTGCCAAACAGTAATTCACATGAAATGATTCTGCTGAACTTCTAAAACAACTCATTTCCCATTTCATGTACATTCATACATTGAAAGTTGATAATTGAAATTAGTATTTTAATGTAGGAAACAACATGATTCAGAGTACTGAATTTACAAAGTAAATTAAGAAAATATTATGAGCTTAAATAAATATACCAAATTTTGTTCTAATTTTGAGATCAGATCTAATAAAACCAATAATCTCTGAAACATACTGTAGAACCTATACAATCCGAAATATACCTTATTCATACAATTGGAAAAATCTAATTAATGCCTAGAGCTGAAACTGATATTCCATTTTCAAATATATTCTTATAGATTTGAAAAAAAAGTAAATTGCTGAGTGACCAGAAAAAGTCAGCCTGTAGTCAGAAATACACAATACTTCAGCAAATTTAATGGTAGCCTATATGTGTCATGTAAAGGATTCAAATACAAAATGGTTTGTAAAGATTTCAACATGGCTAAGTTTCTTGAAAAAAGAAATGGGTTAAATGCTATACAATTTTTAAAGGAAGTATTTCAATAAAATATGACAATTTCTAAACAGCAACTAATACGCGGGGTGGGGGTGGAAGACAAAGAAAACATGTTTCACTTATGCAATGGCATGTAACTAAAGGCATCCTGTCCAAGCAGGAAGAAACGTAGCTTGCATAAATACAGCCTTTCTAAACTTTTCTGATTTACCCATTCTGCTAGAGTTCCCCAGTAGCCTATCCTGTTGGATCCTTTGATGTTTGGGGTAAAGGGAGTCAGGAAAACCCTATTGTGTAAATATACTTTTCTTCCCAGATTTTAAAAAAGTCTAATTATTTATACTCCATCTAATTACACAAGGTTTTAAGAAATACAAAGAGCACATCTTCAAAATTACCCTTTATCCCCTTTTAACCATCTGAATATGAAGCCAATGTAAATAGTTGGTTAGGTTAGGATCAAATTTAATAAGAATCTTTTCCTTGTTAGTTCCTAATTAGTTTGGCCATGTATAAAAGGTGGAGGAAACTTTGGAGAGCAATCAGCTTATGCAAACACGCATACAACTTATATACAACTAGACAGAATTCTCAGCAAGTCTCATTTAATATTATATCTGAATGCAGTTAACTTCAATGACAGCCGTAAACAAAGCATATTGCACTAGTCAGTTTAGATGCTACTAAAACATGGTGACAGGCATCACAGGCCACCATAATCCTCTCCCTCCAGCATGATAACAGCATTACGTGATACCACCACTATACAAAACATATTTATTATTATACCCAAGAAAGAAGCAGCATTTGAAAAACTGAGGATAGCTATGTTTCAAAAGAACAAAACTGAATGAAAAAATTGCAGATATAGAAAAAAATAAGTTTGTGAAAGAAAGTAGTTTTAAAAATCTGGATATTATATGTTCAAAGGTTTGTACAGTGAAAACAAACAACTCTAACTGAAGTACTATAATGAACAATGCTGGCACCTCATCCTACTTACCACCACGTGGTGGTTTATTCTTTGAGGTAAGGATCACAAAACCAAATCCTTCATTCTCCTTTCGTTGCAGTACTACATCATAAGCTTCTGGGAACCGTTTGTTAATTATCTCTTCTCGGTTAAGTCTAGGGGAGCCACTCTGGGAGATGAAAGGAACTTCAGATGTTATTTCTTCTTCTGGTTGTTTATCAGCTAGAAACACCATAAACAGAAACAAGTAAGCAAAAATATTGATGTAAGTAAACATATATTATTGATAATCTGGATGTACAGAGCACTCAAAATTTAAACTAATTTCAGAGATGTAACCCAAAACACATATATTCAATTTTATTCAAAAGGAATTAATAAAGATATGCTATGTTAAGTTTAGCAACAGAAATAACATTTTTTCCAAACTGCTGCATACATTTTAACCCATTTTCAATGGAAGGATTACCAGCAAGTAATTTGAAAACTAGTTACTAATCTGAGCACTCATTAAACATTTAGAGACAAAAATCCATAAAGTATTCCTATTTAAAATATATATCATTTGTCTCCCTAAGGGGGTAAGCAATTTTGTTGCAAATACATCTCCTTATAATAAAAAAGTCTTTCATTTGTCCTCAAATACTTTCATTGGAATTTTCATATTGTTGCATAAATCTGGGTACAGGTAGTTCTCCACTTACAGCCATTTATTTAGTGACTGTTTGAAGTTACAAAAGCAGTGAAAAAACTAACCAAATTTAGACACTTGGCAGCTGGCATGTATTTATGATGGTTGCAATGTCCCAGGGTCATGGGCTCATCTTTTGTGATCTTCTAATAAGCAAAGTCAATTGGGAAACCAGATTCACTTAACAACCATGTTACTAACTTAACAACCGCATGATTCACTTAACAACTCTGGCAAGAAAGGTCGTAAAATAGGATAAAACTCACTTAATAACTGTCTTTCTTAGCAACTGACATTTTGGGCTCAATTGTGGTTGTAAGTAAAGGACTGCCAATATTTGAATGGTGGATATAGCAAACTTAACATCCTGTCCCTTAAACCCTTGGAGCATTAAGTTTTTATTTTCCCTTTGCACGGCTGGTTGGAATATATGTTACAGTGTTTTTGACAATTATCCCAGCTCCTCTGAGGCCACATTATTCTCCTCACAGAGAAGGAATTGGAGGATAATGACAATTAGTCGGCCATGCCAATATCCCACTATAGGGAGTCCTTGGTTAATGATCCCTTGTTCAGTGATTGTTTAAAATTACAACAGAAAGAATGACCACACAGATCCTTTTAATATCTCAATTACTGGATAATAATAAAGAAAGAAATGACTCATATTTACAGATTACACAGTGTCTAAGAACGTACAGATTACACAATGTCTAAGAACGTATCCCATAGTGGAAACCTTTTTTAAAATACAAGCTGTGGTTTACTGGGCTATAGCAAGCCAGCCCATAAACCACAGATCAGTTATATCAACCCTGAACCAAGTGAAAGTGATGTGCAGTAACTATTTAAACATGGGCATGTTTGCTTTTATGGAAATTTTTGAGCTAGAGATCCATATTTAATTCAATGTGATCAATTTTATATATGGATTATTTTTTGTGGCAAATTTATGTTTCTCTTCTGTTATAAGTTAAAGGCAGCTTATAAAAATACTATTAAGACTATTAATAGAAACAGAAAGCAAAATTTATATTTAAAATCAAATCCGAATGTGCAAAATGGTTCATACATGAATTATCCCATGAAGAAAATAGCTGCTTTAGGGTAGTTTGTGTCTGAACTGAAATATATACATTTGGACTGCTATAGAACAAAATGATGTGGATAGACATTGAAATGTAAAAGTATTCTGGGCAAAAAGTGTTTTGGTGGGAGGAGGAAGAATGTGAAAAAGTCAAGGACACCCATAGTTTTAGGACCTAAGGAGAGGGAGAGGAGGGAGAGAAAAGAAGATACTAAGTGGACAGGTTGGCAGGCCAGCCGATGGGACATCTTGAGTTTGCACATCTCAGGAATAGCAAGAAAAAAGAGAAATGAAGACAATGGGAATATTGGGCAAGAAAGACGTATTGCCTCTGAGAAAAAAACAGGATGGCATTGTGACACAGCCTTACTCTTTGCCACATATAGGCATTTAGGGATTTCTTCAGGTTTTGTTTTGGCCAAAACTAGGAATTAAAAATTTTGGATTTTGTTTCTTACAAACCATTACAAACTGAGTTAGTGCAGCAAGATCTCCATAATATAATGCCTTGGTTTCAGGTTTAAAACATTTTTTTTTTGTTTCAGGCACTCTTCTAATAAAAGGACATCATATTAAAAATGTATAACAGATATTATGGCAGTGATAGTCCTATGAGTCCCTTGCAATTAAACTACCATTTTAAACTACAATAAACTATAAGCTACAGATGGTCTGCTTAATAACCACTCTGTCAGTGATTATTTTAACTTATGACAGCACTGAATGGGTAGTATTTACAACCACTCCAAAGTTCTGGCCATTGTAGCATCCCCATGATCATGTGATTGCAATCTGGATGCTCAGCAACCAGCTTGCAATTACAACATTGTAGCATCCTGTGATAATGGCACATTAGCATGGATTGGCAACAGGTTTTTGTTTTGTTTTTTAATATTTTAACAGGTGGTGTTTTATAGTTTTAAAATGATATAAATATGGAATTACACATTTGCGTTAATCCTACCATGATACAAAGTAGTACCAAGTGCAACAGTATAGGCTTAATTAATAAGACATGCACATACCACCAAAGTAGATTTTCCTGCGAACAGTCAGCAGCACCTGTCCATTTCGTGCAGCACTTGTCATTAAATCCAGAACTTGCTTATGTGATTTCCCTTTCACTAGGATTCCATCAATGCATACAAGCTCATCAGCAGCACGGAGTCTACCATCTTTCTCTGCTGCTCCCAGTGGGATGATTGCGCCAATGTAGATCTAGAGCAATAAGGGGTAATTATAGACTTTAAGACAAAATAAGGAAAACATCTGACCTAGGTCTGAGTTGGCCAGAATCTCACATATTATTATGTTGAAAAATGAAGTATATGTATATACTTGTGATCAGTTGGAGCCTAAACAGAAGATGGATAAATTAAATTTCAGATAAATAAATATGCAATTCATAGATTGAAGTCTTAGACTTTATAAGAACCTGTGCACCAAAATCCAGTAAATTATTTCTAATTGTAATTTGTTTGTAAGCAAGTTACATCAGTAATTATAATATACTGTATAGATTGTCATTTAAGTTGAATTTAAAATGTGATAATGATCTGTGAAAAAAGCTGTCTCACCTTGTCTTTTATTTTTATCATTAAAAAAATTGAAGGGAGCATATTACAATCCAAAATACCAACCTTTAATATATTTATTTGCTGGAATACTTTGGAGTTTCACAAGTGCTCATTAAGAAGTATACATGCACTAGTGTATGCTACGATATACAAGAATTTTGAGATTGCTAAATATTCACTATGGCAATTATATTAGGAATAAACTGATCTTTCATGGCAGACATTTTGTGAGTGTGCCCATCAGATGTTCTTAAACCCCCAAATGTGCCTCTGCTTCAGAAACAACAAGGGTGTGGAATCTATAATCCATGAGGAGTCTCCTCAATCCTAGCCAATGTGAATAATTAATAGGAAAAGGAAGAGTTGTAGTTCAATATTCCAAATCTACATATTTGCCATCCTTGATTTGCAGGAAATTTTGTGCATGTCCCTCATAACCCACTATTATTATTATGTAAAACTCTTAGAAAACATAGTGGATAAATTTAAATCAAACCACTCATTTTGCATTTTCAAAGTTTTATATTATACTGAAGAATGGTCATGTGGAATAACTGAGAATACTCCTAAGCTTTTCAGAGCAATCTTTCCCACTCTAGCATCTTACCACACATTGCAAAGCACTATTTGAGAGTCGGGCAACATTCTGGAGCTGTACATGATGCAACCTTACATGTTTTGGGAATAATCACTTAAATTCCTCTCATATTCAAGCACACTGGAAAATGGTTTTGCTCATATATCAAGCTCTGTGGATACTGGTCTTAATCTAGAAAACAGGCCAGCAATACAGATAGGCCTCACTTAATGATTACCTGATTTGGTAGCTGTTCAAAGTTATGACTATGCTAAAAAAGCAAGTAAAAAAACAAAAAGAAAACCAATCAGTCTTCGGAATTATGACATTTGTAGCATTTTTCTGCTCTTATTTTCACTTATTTATTCATTCCATACAAAGGTTTCCTCAAAGAGAAAGACATGCCTCTCCCCATGGACCACACCTTCCTTTCTTTGATCTCCCTCTGCTCACACAAACCCTCACCCCCTTTCCCTTGGCCTCCCTGCATTCGCATAGATAGACCCATGACTTCCTTTCCTCAGTGTTCCTGTGCTCACACTGATCCGTGCCCTCCTTCCCTCAAGCCTTCCTGTGCTAACATCGCATTGCAGCATTCCTCTCCGCCAGGGCCTGCACCACACCACTCCTCTGTGGCATCCAAGCATCCTTACCTAGGACTCCCACTGCCTTTTGCTTAACAACCCGCATATCTTCGAGTTATAATGGCAAATGGAGCTGCCTTGATTGCCATCACTAGGTGATTGGCAGTTTAAATCCTGCTATAGTACCTCACAATGGTGGGGGTGTGTGTTCTCAGGAAGAATGAGTTAATAACAAGAGTGTGTATACCAAGAGTAAGCATCCCCAGAAGGACATCCCAGCTGTCCAGTTAAAGCATATATTGGGCAACAGAAATATAGGTAGATATTAGAGGCACATTATCACTTTACTGACAATCTCAGTCATTATTACATACTGTGTGGGAGAAGGAATCTTAAAGCATTCATATATTTTATAAAGAAAATCACATGGATAGACAAGCTAAAGAGGCTGACAATATAATGCCACAGAAGACTGGATGCTATTTAAAAAGGAGAGGATCTCTTGGAGTATAAATAATGTTTATGATGCAGCTAGTTTAAAACCTTCAGAATATCTAGCTGTTGATGTTCCCATGCAGAAAAAAGAAAATTCTTAAGCTGCAAAGACAAAATCGTAATGGCAACATGGAGCATTATCTGAAATGTCACCTGTAAAGTCAGGTTGTGGATACGGTAGTCTTTTCTGGAGAAGACCTATCTAGGATTTTTCTAAGATAGACATTGACTTGATGGCCCATAAATGATCAATTCAAATATAAAGTAATAAATACTTGACTTACTGACTGATCTGGACCATCTCCTCCAAGAACTCGGAAACCAAACCCAGATTCTTGCTTTCGAAGGAAAACATCTAAATCCTTTGTGTTTGGAGCTAGTAAAAATGGACGGGAAAGATATTTGTTAACAAGGGAGAACTATGTTTGGCCATTTAAAAACAATATACACAAAATTTAAAACTAAATCATGTTATTCACTTAGAAGCAAATTACTTTCTAAAGATATTGTAAATAACATAGTTAACACACCTGCAAAATTAAATCATGAGTTAGAATGATTAACACTCCATCTGCAAAGCACAAACGTTTGACAAAATTCTACCTGTTTGAACACGTGGGATTACTTAAATAAACAAGATCTTTTTTAGTCTTTATAGTAATTCAGTTCTAGAAGTTTCAAACTACCAACACATACTTTATTAGATCCATATAAAAATCAAACAAAATCTAATATAATGTTTGTACAGATGATCCTTGACTTACAACCACAATTGGATCCTGATTGTCACCATAAGTTGATGCAGTCATAAAATGAGATGTCATGTGACCACACTGATTTAGATGGCAATCTCAGAACTTTCCACTGTGGTCATTAATCAAGAATAGTGGGTCATTAAGCGAGTATTCATATTATTATTTTTTCCTTTCTTGTATTTCTTAAAGTTTTTTACATGCTCTTTTCTTCACTCCCCTTGGCAATGTATGTATCTTCATTAATATTATCTTTGTGTTTTGCTCCTTTTTTGTTATTAATTAAAAATCAATCAATCAATAAAAATGAGTACCTATCCCAATCCAAGTCCTTCCAGGTTTGGTTCCTCCCAGCCTTGAGCCTCAGTAAGGTAAGTGCCCACACTCGCCTATCTCCCCCTCATCTCTGCCCTTTGGCTACCATGCGCTCTGCCTTGCAGGGAGGCAAACAGCCCCAGAACAGCCCCATGTGGCTTTGCGGCTGCTTGCCATTTCCCAGGAAGCCTTAGCTCTCCCATCCCACGCAGCAAGTTAGCAAGCATTCATTTGTCCAGCTGCTTCTTTGCCCAGTTTCCCACACCAATCTTTCACCTTTTGTGCCTACTTGCTGCGGCTGAAACAGAAGCATCGCACTGCCTTTGCTGCTTCCTTTTTGGATCTGTGACTGCCAGGCTACTCCAGTGTTCCAACTTCTCCAGGTTGCTTCACATGCTCCTCAGCTCACCGCAGCAATGTGATGCCAAGCGGCAGCCCCCATGAAGCCCCCAGCAAGCATTCAACCCCCCAACTGCTTTCTCTCCCAGTTCATTATACTGATCTTTTGGACTCAGCCACCTTAGGTAAAGCAAAAGCAACTTTGCTGCCTTTGCTGTCTCCTTTTTGGATCCAGCTTCTCTTCCAAATGTTTTCTACATGTGACTCTCTGAGCCTTTGAAACACTGCTTCGTAACACAATCCTGTCTTCGGAAAGCTACACTGTCTTCAAAATGCTTTCCAAAGACAACACAACTTTCTGAAGACAGTGCAGCTTTATGAAAAAAATATTCAGAATGATAGAACAGCTTTACAAAGGCAACATACTTTTATGAAGACAGTGCAACACTGAAAGGCTCAGAGAACCACAGGCAGGAAATATATGAAAAGAAGATAGCAGAGGCACATGGTGCTTCTGCTTCAGGTGCTGGGAACAAAAGGCGAAAGGTCACTATATATTGATTCCCATTATAGTGTGTTCTCAAAAACAACAATTGGTACTTATTAATCTGATATATTCTGTCTTGCAAACTACATGGACCCTAAAAAAATAATTTATTATTTTAGGTTCCTAGGTAGCACAGTATAGGTAGTTCCCATTTAGTATCCACTATTGGGACCTACAGCTCTGTCGTTAAGCAGTGATTACTAAGTGCTAAATCATGTGACCACTCTCCCAGCCTTTGGAATGCTCATCTGACACTGGGATAATTAGGCAAGGGGATTAATGTTTGTATTTATAGTCACCGGAGATGAAGGGATTACAAGAGAGTAAGCAGGCACACACAATGGGGGACACACATTTAAAGCAATGCAATGATGTTGGCAGTCCTAAGCCTGCATTGGGCTGGGAGCCATGAGTGTGCTACACAAATAGCTTGGTATATTCCCTTGCTTCCTCTCTTCCTCTCAAATCTCTCTACTCAGTTGGGGGGAGAGGGAGAAAAATATCAAGTGATTTCTGTAGGCAATCTCCCCTTGGCCTGATCTGTCTTATCTCCAATATAGAGCAGAAAGACTGGAAAAAAGGGATTACAAAAGAGTAAGCAAGCACACAATAGGGAAAGTGGGAGGAGAACAATAAGTCAGGCACCAGACAACATGTACTGACTGTAATGGCAATCACATGACTGATGGATAATACGAATATCGAAAATGCAGCATTAGTTTTAAGGTTTTTTTCAGGACTATCGGAGTGTCAAATGTTTGCTGAAAGAGGCAGCTGATAAGCGAGGACTACTTATAGTAACTACTTTGCCCTACCTAAGAGAAATCTTGGGGGAGGAGGACTTAAAAAGCAAAAGAAAGCAAATTGTCTCATTTGCTTAGGGTCACATCCTAAGAAAAAAAAAGATTTCAGGGTAGGGAAGGAATAAACATGAATGATTGGAGAAATAAATTCTAAGCCTAACACAATTTAAAAGACTATTTTCACTGAAAATGTTTTATTGCCAGCTAGATCATTTCATCCCCTGAATACATCTACAATTTGAGCCTTTATAGATAATACATTGAAGATGTCCAACACTTTGAAGATGGTTTCAAAGCAATCACTTTCATCCAATAGATTTCAGAAGCTTAAAGCAATGTTTACAGCTGGGGAATATGAATGCTGTGGATTAGTAAAATTAAATCCATCTCTTTTAGGGATGATATTGACAATGCAGAAATCAGAAAGCTTTTCCTTAAAAAAAGAAAAAGAAAACAAAAAACCCTGGTGCAGCAAGTAAATCAAGTTTATGTACTTACGTTTATCTTCAAATAATATTTTAGATTTCAGATAAACCTCGGAAGGGTCAAGCTTTGGAGAAGATGACTTCACAGAAGTAGGTAGAAAAGGCATTGGATGTGGAACAGGCTCACCAATGGCCTCTAAGCTTCCTGAATTTTCCTCTTTATTTATTTTCTGAAATAAATAAGATTCATATAAAATAGGTTGCAAAAATGAATATTGTCTTAAACAAGTAAATAGAAAGATGCGCAAAACACTCTTCAATAAACATTTTCGGGTTTTTTAATGCGATTCGAACATCTCCTGAATTTCTCCTGAAATTTTCTAGTATTGCATCTTTCACTTTCTTATATTCTTCTTTGAAATTTTAAGTATGAATAATTAACTCATCCAATCTAACAATAGCAACATTGTGGCAGAATATGATAAAATATATTTCAGAGAAGATATCTCAATTTCACATGTCATAAACTCCCAACAGATTTGTTTCCGAAAAATGTAATTATACACGGATGAAGTCTTTCTATATACTATACATCTACTATAATTAGATAATAGGATATACCAATGTATACAATTCATAATTATAGACAAGACAAGGGGGAGAAATCTACACTAGGTTTAGGTTAGCTTATCAAAATATTTCCATGCCCTTATTTTGGTATTTTATGTAACTTTCCTCTATTTGAGGCATATATGCAATACAATGGAGATTGTATGCAAGCAAGTATATGAAGGGAGGTTGCAATCTGTCAGGATCAGGTGGCATTCTAACCAATCACTTGATCTGGAATTAAATACAGGGGAAAGTACTGACTCAATGTGCATTTTAAAGATCTAGCTGAAAGAAAGGGCATGGGGTAAGGTAGACAATGTTCTGGCCCCTAAGTTGGCCAGCTCTGGTGACTGCAACAGGCTGTGACTAGAGAATAAGGAGGTGAAAGGATCCAACTGAAAATTTGTGAGCTTTGACTATATAGAGCTAGACCTGCACAGTCCTCCTACTAAAAGGATATCTGTAGTGTACTCTCCATTCCACTATATAAGGTCTCTCTGTTTCTAAGCTAACTTTATCTCAAGCATTGTACTGAATTACCCTAAAATTCTTGTCCTGAGGCTTAGGAGAACCTCAGGATTTCATGTCTTCACAAAAGACCACAGAACTGTCTCAGTGAGTACCTAACTTTATGTACATAAAGCAGGGCCCATGCTGGGTTTGGTATTCATTTTGGATGCAACTATAAACTGAAAGTGGAAAAGCATTATCTAATTCCAACGTCCTAGAGCCTTTCGTAGCCTTTTGAGCCTGGAGGAACCTTTAAATATTTTTCAAGCCTTCAATAACCCCTGCACATACAGGCTCAAATATAGGCCAGAAGTTCAAAATTATTATATTCATTTTATGGGTAGGCCCACATATATGCATTAACAATGTTCTTAAACTAAAAATAAAGAAATTATTTTTTTTCCTTTCCCCCACCTTCTTCCCCTGTCTTTTCGGTAGATTCTGCTGCCATCGGTGACTATATATGCTCGGTCCCAGATCTCCTGTGCCTGCCCTGAGATAGAAAACCCGCCACACCAGGCCACTGAACCTGCAGAAAGACAGGCTGGCAAGCAAAGCCCCAGCACATGCACTCTCTCATGTGCACATTCTCTGCTACTCCTCCTCAGCTTGGCTTGGCTCACTTCTCACTTCTCGGCTTCAGCTTTGTATACCTCTCCGCTTCCATCCCTTTGTGCAATCCTTACCTCCACCCGAGGTCAACACACACTCTAGTGGGCCAACCCAGGGTTTGGGGTTGGAGATTTGTTCAATCTCTGCTTTTTAAAAATAAATCATGATCTCCCAGGGAGCCTCTAGTGACCTCTCGCAGAATCCTAGGGTTACGAAACACCCAGTTGAGAAAGCCTATCCTACATAAATAACAGTGGGTAGTGAGTTTTAGTTTGGTGACTAGCACTAATCTCTACACTGGCAGATGACTAGTTAAAATAGTAAGACCCAGGAAATGGATGGATCTGGATCATTTGGTGTGTCTTCTTTCTCGTAAGTTGCAAATATTATTGAAATCTTAGTTGATCTATGAAATACAGAAATGACCATAATTTATCTTGTTATCTTAGATATTTCTAATGTATACATCTTGAGAGCTGTGGACAAGGTTAGTCAAGACTACCCTTTTTGGCTTGTTGAAGTGGCCTGAATAGTACTTGTTTGGGGCTAAGGAAGATAATCAGTGCCTCTTTACAAGTGAGATGTACTTTGCTCCAACCCTGCCTAGACGAACTTTTCATCTAAAAGTTCTGTGCATGTTAGTTTCAAATACTCAATTTCTGAGAAATGTGGCCAAGAAGATAGTGAATTTCTTAGCTCCAAACACGTTTGGGTGAAACTAATAATTTGGACTTGTTACAGTTTATTTTTCCATTAATCCCTTTGCAGTATAGGTATGCGGTAACCCCTATACATGAGTGGCTAAATCAAGCTTCAAACTTTAAACTCTAGGAAGGCAAACTGTACCAATAAATGTTACCAAAAATTGACAATGGGTTGGATGAGGGAGAACAAATTAAAATTAAATTGAAACATGGTGGAAATACTGTTATATAGCATCTATACCTGATAACTGAGATTTAGCCTGCATTGGACAGGCTGAACTCCCTCTGAAAGATTAAGTATGCTCTCGGAGAATGTTTCCTGATTTTCAGCAACCCCGAGATTTGCAGGTGACAGCTATGATAAAAAGTGCCTTTGTATCACTATATCTAAAGTGCCAACTATAACCCTTCTTAAGCTTGTTAAATTTGGCAGCAAGTATGCAAACATAGGTTAAATATTTACATATAGTCTTGACTACTGCAAAACACCATAGCTCTATCCCTGAAACTGGAACTTACAATTCGCACAATGTATAGCAACTTGGCTGATATTCACTGCAATGCAGTGATCATCGTGTCATCATTGATTTAATAATTTAATACTTTTAATATTAAGCTTTAAAGCACTATCAGTGTCAGAATCCCCTCCTGCTCTTCCTGGACAAGCTGGTAGATGAAGCACAGCAAAGAGGAAACTTTGAAATATTAATGGGTGGCAACTGCACAGCTGGATTGCTATCAGAATTTATTCCCACTCTGTCTGGTCAAATGAACATTCCCAAGCAAACCAGAAATGTGATTTGATTGCTTGACTGCTGGAAGTACTCACTTCTGCTCTATCTGGAGAACCAAGCAGCTGGCTTGTCCAAGTGAGTTTGGACTCCAGGTTTGCATGTGCAAACCTCAAGGCATGTTCACTCAAACCCAAATCACTTTCAAAATTTCTTCCTGCTCTGTTTGGAGAGCCTGACGACAAACTGTAACTGCTGCTATATAAAGAACAACACTGATCCAAAATAAACAAGGAATGAGAAATGGGACTAGCTGTTTCAAACAGAAAACCTAGATTTCAAGAATAACATAAAACCAAGCAAGCTCAATCTTTCTCATCTAAAAATGTGCTTTTCAGTTTGATTTCTTTACAAAGAAAACTTTATAAAATACTTTCATTAAAATTATAAGGTTTTGTGCTTTTATTTCATACATAAATTAAACTTTAATTATTAAATGTAATTAGAATAATTATTTCTTGCCCAGTCTTAGCTTTAATACAATTGTTAGTTTAATTGATGGATTTGGCTTCAAACAAATTTATTTATCATTTAGGGGGATACAGCATCAAACAATTTGAGACTTAAATAAAAGAACTCATGCTAGAAAAATAGTGCATAGACAGGGTTTTCCATTGTATAGCTATCTTAGAATGCAGATTCAAATTTTAATAGTGCATCCAGAAAAAAAATAGGAGTAACAGTAGTTTGTGTTTATCTCCCTCACACACCTTAATCCCATGACTGATAGCTAATCTTGAGAACAAATGTTTTGACCACAATTCAGCTACCTTAAGCTTTGCTCCTTTATGACACAGTTTTCTTGGAACATGCTTCCTGACATGAACCCTCTAGTTCATTCTTGTGTTGTACTTTTTTCATTTCTCTCACCAAAGCATATTAAGAGAACAAAGAGTCATTGTTTTCATATAGTTTGTAAGAAAGCATTTCATCCATTACAACTAATCAGTTCAGATTTTCCTTTAATGTGATACTTTTTAATATCAATAAAGTTTATTATCAGTACAGTCAATAAACAAAACTTCTGCTCACAACCTTGACCTCAGAAGGTGAACAAATGAAGAACACAGTTATTGCAAATCAGTTAAAAAGACTGAATATTAAGGGATTACTTCAAAAGTAGAAAATGTTACTTCATCTAAAATTGAGCAAAGCCAATAGCAAATTTGCAATTATTGAATGAATATTTACAATAGTTTTACACCACGAAATGTGGAAGTCAGAATTGTTTTTCCTCCCATAACTGTTGTACAGATTAAATATATGAATGTTAAAAAAGAATCTCAAGGAAGTCCTAATAAAATGATTCAACAAGACCTTCTACACATTTTTTACAGGTAGGGGTAGACATGTTACAAAAACTTCTATTTATACTCACATTATCAATACTGGGAGTTTTTGTAGGTGAGGAAAGTCCTAAAACAGAAAATAAACATTAATATAATCAATCAGAGTATTCCTATTCTATGTTTTAAAGCTATGCAGTGTTTTGCATTCAGAAGGACAGAGCACCTTCGGAGCACATGAGTGCTTTCAAAAACACTGTCACTATATTTTTAAAACAATGGCTTTTTTTTCAGGATCACGCCAACAGTTGCTACATCTGCACCCACATGTACACAGAAAGACCTTTTTCTTTCACATCTATAGCATTAAACAAAGCTATCCTGAATATCAAAACAAAAGAGTTAGACCTTTATAATCTGACAGTCTTGTCTAGCTATCAATATATTCACTTGGCAACTTATCAAGACTTCTTGGAAACAAGAACCAAAAATATTTTTACTGCAGATATTACATCCAAAGATTTTCAACTGGTAAGCAACAATAATAGTCCTTTCAAGCTATTAGAAGGACCTCTGTTTCTTACTAAACATTACTAATGCACAATCCCTTTTCCCACATATCCTTTGCCTATCACAATAAATGGGAGGGAATTAATGTAAACATAATGACTAAGTCAAACCAGTATTTAAAAACTTCTCCTCTTGTTATTTTCAATACCCCAATCTGAAAAGTGAATTTCAATGATAGATTGTATGCCTTGAAAAGATTTTAGTGAATAAATATTAAATAAGTTACCATGTTATCTGCTCTTGTACACTCATTCATGTACTGTATAACATGTTCTGAGGCTGTTTTTTTAAATATATATATAATCAGAAAAAATCTGGGCTAATCATTCTATTATGAAAAAAACATCATGACTAAGTTAAAAGGATTTATAAATTGTCCACCCATCTCAGTACCAAGCTAAAATTCTAAGCAAGGGGACTCACCTGGCAATGTAGATTTCCCTCATATATCTGTGATAACATGTCTTAATGGCACTTGAATGTTAGGGACAGCAATTTTTACATACATGTACACACTCACATATATTCCCGTTCAAAAAATATATATTAAAAACCCCCAACTCAAAGCCCACCCCCCTCCAATTCCAATGTTTGAAATTGCTTTTAATTTTAAGATGTCATAGGCACTATTTTGTATTGGTCCATTACCATTCTACCAATTCCAAAAAGATTTAAAGATGAATTTATCTGCATCAAGAGAGTATTTGCAATTAATGGCAAACTTCCAAATTTTCCCAAGGACAATGTGAAGAGTCAGTTGATCGACATAAACATATCAATAACATGGTATTTTCCAATTCATTTTTATATTTTAATTAGATCAATAGATCAAAAATGGGGAGTATAACAGCTACTGTACTACATTACAGGAGAAGTTGACAGTTTTAGTACAAATAGAATGCTCAATGATAACTAATAACCAAATGTATTTTAAAAGATGCATGAATGTGACTTACTGAATAAAAAACAAACACTTTCTACCATTACACTTCTACATTATCCTCAACAACATATAGACCCAGCAATGTTTGGCAGTGGATTTGTACAATTTAGCCATGTCAGCAACGATCAATTTGTATTGAATAAACTTTGCTAACAGAATCTATTGCCATTTCAAAATACAATTATCACAAATATAACTATATATAACTCTATGTAGTAATGCCAATATTAATATCAAGCCCATAAATGAAAACAAGCTTATATGATATTTTACAATGGTTAACTGATCCTTACTGACATGAGATTAAGAAGTCAAAATAACAATAAAAAGCCATATACATAAAAAGACAGTGGACCAAGACAAACAAAGAGACAATCAACAAACCACAAGTGAGGTCTTTACATGGCACCACTAAGTATACAACTTTTACATATTTATGTTCCTATGAAAGTCTTGCCAATCAGATATAAATGGAAAAGAATTTTGCCTTTGGAGAAATGTGTAGATACTTGACCTATAGAAGCACTCACTGCATCTTCTGAAAGACTCATAGAAAAGAGATGAGAAGATGCTTTTTACATTATTTTTTACCATGAATGTAGAAATACAAATACAAACTTAAGAGTAGCAATATGGGCAACCACAGTAAGATAATATGTGCATTTTGTCAAAATTCCAAAATGCATATTTGCATCAGATGTCCTGATGCAAAAAAAGTAATCACAGAATGTGCAAGATTATATCATATGCCATCATTTTGGCATCATTGCATTTTGTTGTCAATGTCACTAGATAGTATTAAGAAGTACTACATTGTGTTTGAACGCAACACAGGCATTTTAAGTTATAGCAAATTCATTACATACCTCCTCTTAGGATAAGCAGTGGCACCTCTGCTCCAACTGGGAACTGCTTCAGTACTTCTACTACCTGGATGTGTGTTAAATTCTGTACATTCTGATGATAAATCTCTTTAATTACATCCCCTTTCTGAAGTCCATGACACCACTGGCTGTCTAAAATCATCTTCACCTTTTGTCCTGCAGGGCTATCAGCTATTGCAAATCCAAAACCTTTAGGTCCCTTGATCAGAGGAATTGTGACCATTTCTGTTTGAGAACATCCCGAAGAAGACCCTGTAGCCCTTTCTTCTCCAAAGTCTATTGCTGAAGGACCATTCAGGCGTCCATTGACTAATATATGTCCAGTTTTACTATTGTGATCCAAAATCACTGTTCCTGGGATTAAATCCTGGCTGAGTATACAGGTATCTCCTTTTGTAACTGGCTGGCCATTTAAGACAGGAGTGGCTGTAACAATATCTACAACAGGATCTTCACTTTCATCAGGCAGAGGATATCCACGACACAACGTCATATTCACATACTGATTGATGGGAACTAATTGAAACATCTGGACAACATCAGCATGGGTATGGCCAAGGACACATGTACCATTTATATCTACAATGACATCACCTATTAAAAATGAATAAAGTATTAACACAAATATATTTGCACATATTAAAATAATCTTAGTAACCTCATTGTGGAGAATTACTAACATCTATCTATCTATCTATCTATCTATCTATCTATCTATCTATCTATCTATCTATCTATCTATCTATCTATCTATCTATCTATCTATCTATCTATCTATCTATCATATTTAAATAGCCATCCATCTTACAAAAAACTTTGGGCAGCTCCCAATCAATTTTTTTGCTTTGAACTTAATTTGTATTTGTTAAGACTTGACATCATTTTCTTTGGATTTGGGGAATGTTTATGTGCTTCAAAAGTGAAAAACAGAATGTTAGGATAAGACTCATGTGCTAATGAATTGAAGTCTAAATTATATATGACTTTTTTATTCAAATATATTGCTAGAGTATACAACCCATGACCCTTGGGTCATCGTTTCAGAGATATTTCCTTACCAGATTCCTCAATGCCTTCAACAACAGCAGAGCTTCTAATGTATTTGTAAAGTTTTTAAAAAATCAGGGATATTCAGAAATGTATTTGCTTTAAAAGTAGCTTATGTTGAACTGTATAGCACAGTCAAACATCAGGAGTTGACCACGGGAAATGTTTACATACATTTTGTATGATCTCATAAAATATCTTATGATCATTTTTATATCATAAAATGCTTTATAAAATTTGTCAAATTTCAATTCCATAGGTATCATGGCTGTCAGATTTTGGATGTATTCTGTAAGTAAGCCCATTTGAGGTACTTTGATTGAAAAATTGTTGCCTTATGATGCACCTAACTAAAGGTATGCATCAGGCTTTAATGCTCTCTCCACTCCTATTTAACATCTACATAAGGCCACTGGATAAGGTCGGCATGGATGAGATATTATCAATATGCTCTATGGGGAGCCTTAGCGTTTGCATTTTGTATTTATTATAGTTTTTTTCATTGTATTTTTATATTTCTATATTGCTAGCTGCCAAGAACTATGAGCTTAAGGTGGGCGGTCCATAGAAATTTTAGTAATAAAAAATGCATTTTAATTGGGAAAGAAAAAAAGGATTTGTTCCTGAATATCTAAAATACCAAACTCTTTGTGGTCCAACTACAGTGTAAATTGTAAAACCTCAAGTTTACCTGATGAAATTTTGCCATCATGTGCAGCAGGTCCGTCCTTTAATACATTCTTCACCTGTAGAAATTCATCTGGTCTATCTCCACCAATTATTGTGAATCCAAATCCCATAGTACTTTTCTTCAGTGATGTTCGTATTAGTGTCCCTATCAACTGGGATGGATCTCGAGTAAAGAAAGGTTTTGCTTGTTCTGCACACAAAGAAAATGCTTTTAGGCCTGTCTGTTCAAAAACTGGGAGTGCAGATTAAGGCAATTAATATTGCAGTGATAAACTATTTAGAAATGTCAGATAAAAACTTTCTGGATGCAGACCAACATTAAAAAACATGGATAGGTTTATATTATTCTATTCTGTTCTGTTAAATAACTCTTTATAAACACCTAATGCTGGGACATATCAAAGTCTTCCTTCCATCCATCCATCCACTTTCATCATTAAAAGTATTATGTTCTTGCTTCTTTCACAGAGAAAAGAACTTTAAAGATACATAGCTGGGATGTTTTGCTTATTTGATGAAAAATGTCTAAGAACATTTATTTTCTTTTTTTATAATCTGCCATTTTTAAAATGCTTTCAGTGAGTAACAAAGCCTACAGTTAGCAGCAAATCTTTGGTGTTAGTACTTGGATGAAAAATTATTTACATTATTAAGTTGGCATAGAAAACAATATGTTAAAATCATAAAAATATAAATGTCAGGAATTGTTTTAAATTCAAATTTATACCAGTACAAATATTAGCTAATTGTTTCCAGAAAGCTAGCATAAAGAGACATGGTGATTATGATGACGTATATATTCTTAAGTACATTTCAGATTTTAACAGTAGCCACTGAAAACTGCACCTGGATTTGACACGCCTCCATCAGTCTGTCCTAGCTGTTTTTTCCGTTTTGCTTCCAAAACTGGGTTTTCAAATTGAGTTTTCTGGTTGATGTGACTGCAAAGTACACAAAATGATAGTGCAAATGGAATTACAAATATTTACAGGAAAAAGATCCCATTGCTTTCTGCATTATAGGATACTGCTCTCCATTCTTTAAACTTTCCAAAAGGCAGAGGTTCTTACCAAAAATCCAGCAGAACCTCACTTTAGTAATTGCTAAGCTTCAACACTTTAATACTTGCATAATTAATCTGAAAAACCCAGGCTGTTTTCCAAAAGCTAGTAGTATACTTCCATTTGAATACAAACAATCAAATTAATACAAAGAATCAAATTTCTAGTGATCAACTAACTGAGATTTGAATTCAAACAAATGACCAAACTTAGGACAAAATCTAAATTCAATTTAGGAAAAGCGAGAAATTACAAGTGCTGCCTATTACTTAATATGTGAATTTAGATAATAAAAGGTCACAAGAATAATTATCTGATAATCAGTTGTAAAGATTGGGTCTTAAATAATTATTTTCTTATATGGGGATAAGAAAACTTTTGGATCAAGTTTAATTTAAAGCAAGAAAATATTTATTTCTTAATCTATCACAAATTTGGGTGGAACTACAAATAATAATGAAGAGCACAGATTGATAAGCCAAATAAAAGAAAAAAAAGTTTTGTTATCAGTCATCAATTTTGTTATTTCTAAATTACTTAGTTATCTTGTTGTATCTACTTTGTTGATTCACAATGTTTTAAAAGAAAAATAATAATAAAACAATACTCTAGATATTTACTTGGTTAAGAAAATTATGTGCTCTAAATTGAAACATTTTACATATTCAGAGGAATAAAAAACTGTCAAGACCCAACATCTTATTAAAAAAGCATGTAAAACTTTGATATAATTGTAAAAATTTCAAATATATTTTATGAGATATTCCCAAATCCCCTTGCTAATAAAATTATTAATAATGTTCAAGTAGAGATCCTATATTGCAAAGAAAATGTGTCATTAAAAATAGTGGATACTTTATCATTTTATTTATATGCTATTTAGTTTTCTAATATTGTTCTCATACAGGTAGTCATAATTGCGACTGGAACTTCTATCACTAAGAGATGCAGTCATTAACTGAGTCATGCCTAATTTTATAACCTGTTTTGCCATGATTGTAAAGGAAATCATAGTGGTTATTAAATGAATCACACTGTCATTAAGTGAATATAACTTTGTCCATTGACTTTGTTTGTGAGACGTTCCCTGAAAAATTGCAAATGGCAACCATATGTCTCCAGGATGCTGCAACCATTGTAAATAGATGCCAGTTGCCGGGGGACTTCCGGTGGCAGGCGACCTCGTCGGACGCAGCTGCTGCTGCCTCCCGCCTGTTTCAGCGTAAAAGCCGTTTTGACAGCTAGCATCAGCTGTCAAACGGCTTGATACCCTTCCCCTGGGCATAAGGGGATAGGTGAGCTGCCCGGGGTAGGAGTTGAGTTCCC